GCGCCACAGCCCAGCACACTTTTAAATGCTGCATTTTTTAACTCGCTAAGGCTCTGGGATTTTATCCCGGCGTATATCCGCACAGTATACCGCCTGCGCTATACGCGCGCGCGTATGTGGCATGAAGCTAACCATGGTCCGACGACCTTTTCTAGCTTTTCCCTTTTTTGATCATCCGTGCGCGTGACATCGGGAGAAAGCTGCTTAATTACCTAAAGCCAGCTCTAGCTGCGTTCCTCTCTCTCTCTCTTTCTCCTTCTCCCTTTATCTTGCAGGATTCTCGCCTAGAAGCTTCCTTTTTTGCACGGCTGTCTCTGCTTCTGCTGCTGTTGTGTTGCATGTATTTTCGTCCTCGTCCGAAATGCGTACATTTTGCGAAAATCTTGTTATTTCTTTCCCTCACTGGTCGAATGGTATTAGTTACGCGACAAAAACAGGGAAGAAGGGTGTGCGCAAAAAGCTCGGAATCAATTGAATATAATCGAACGGATTATCTCTCTGTGTGACCACGCGCGCGCGTGCAAGAAAAAAAAGGGTAAAAACAAAAGGAGAAAAAATACGACGATTAAAATGAGTGAAGCGTGTGATAAATCGGTTCCACCCTCTCTCTTTTTTCTTTGCATTTAATTTGCGCGCTGATAATTTTCTTAACAGCTCCCGTTATATCGTTGTGCATATTAACGCGCTTGCGAAATTGTATATACATGTAAATGTTCGCCGATGTTTAAATCACAAAAATGCATTTCTGCCACAATAAATTCATCGATCAACCAATGCTTGCTCAAAAATCAAGCGTGTATACAGTGTGTGCACGGCACAACAGCACAGCACGGCACAGCACGTACACCCATGTGTGCAAAATCGCGTACGCACTAATAAACTTTCCTCTTGGACGTTCGCTTGGATCCGATGTGTGTACGCAACATCTATTATTATACATCCTGTCAAAATCATCAAGGTTAAAATGTATTCCACGAGTATACGTGTGTGCACAAATAACAAATACAGCGAAGGAGGTGGTATTGGTGGTCGTACGCGTATATAGATATAGGATTATAAAAAAGAATATAGCTGAATAAATATAAAATGTAGCCTATGAAAAGCGAATAAAAATCATCCGGCGAAATTCTGACGCGCTAAATTTGATATCGAAACGGTCGTTGTCAATGCGACGGCTCGAAAAATTTCCTCGCGTAAGCCCGTTTCAGCAGTTTATAGCTGCGCTAACTCATATATACCTATCGAATGTGCTCGAGCATGAACTCAAAGCTCACGTGCCGCTTATTTATGTTTGTTTAATGCATAATAATAAAAGGAGAAATGAGAGCTAGAGATCCAGAGAGGTCTTTTCAAATTGTTATAAAAGAAATGGCTCCGCATGGGTATACAGCGCACGATAGGAACAACGCCGTATAGCGTCGGCGCAGTTGCTAGGGATAATTTTCAAAGTTAACAAGCATATATCGAGTCAATTAGTCGCTCACACGTATATTAGCGCAGTTCTGCACTATAGCTGGCCGTACAGCCGGGCTATAAGCAACACAAGGATAGGTCTGCAAGCTCGAGCGAGCGAGGCGCCCATTGGAGATGGCCACACCGCACACTGTGCATGCAGCAGCATGGCACGTATATAATATATATAGCTCGCGAGAGTGAGAGAGGAGCGTTATACCGCACGCTCGACCACGGCCCAGGCGCGCATATTACATTCATCGCTATTATAATACACTTATGTGTAGGTGTATATGTATACATGCACACACATACTTTGCATCTCACATACACATCTATGCAATGTATATAATATAAGCGACGGACGTGGATGTGCTCGAATATGCATGTGTAGCTGCAGCGAGGCCGAGCGAAACATTTACGTGTGAATTGATTCGCTTAATATATTTAGCGTTTTTGTATATGCAGGCATGTAACTTCTCTGAAGCTCCACATAGCATTTGCGCATATACATCGTAAGCTCGCGTGTGCAGCGCTCTCGATTGGCAGTGCATTCGATTATTCTCGTCCGTAACGCAGAAGGCAAAAAAAAATACAAAATAAAAAATATATGTGTATGTGTGTATGAATACGCTTTGCGAGACTCGAGCTGCTCCTTTTTCACTGCGAATGCATGCTCTACAACATGTATACGTAGGTATAGTAATAGCATGTAGTATGAAAGTCGAGTGCGGCGCTCGAGTCTAATTCATTGGGATTCAATCGGCAAGTTCGCTCTCTCGGCGCGTCTAGCTCTCAGCTGTACCATAAATCGATTGATACATTTCCAGCGTGTGTGTCACCGATGCTTGCTCGTGTACGCTCGCTCTGACTCTTTTTCGATATGCGTATACGTAGAAAAAAAAATAAGAAAAAAAATGAATGGATAAAAGGGAAAAATTTACCGATAACATTTTGGCAACGGACATATAGAGAGACTGGGATCAAGTTTTCCTTTCTAGCAGCGGGTTTATTTCTGCCTGCTATATACACACCCCCACGTAAACTAGCAAAATGTCCATTATAACGTAGAGTGCACTGTGTGTGTGTGTGTGCAGGGGGTGTAGTATAGCGCGCGAGAGTCAAGTCATTTCATATTGAAGCAAGAGCCTCGCTGGGTGCAGTGCGCGCGCCAAGGCCGGGGTATATTATACACACCGCACACATAAGAGAGAGAGAGGCGAGCTTGCAGCTATAATATATTCCAATGAATGAATGACCTCGTTCAGGCACATGGGTGGCGTTATAATGCCACGTAGCGCAAGCACAAGCAGCAACGTTCAAGGCGTTCAGGGCGCGATTATTAAACGGTCGCGCTGCTGCTGCAGCAGCAACAGTATAAACGTGAAGCGGGTGGCGTCGGCGAAGCTTAACCGCTGCTGTGCATATACCTACACATACACATACACACATTAACCTGTGTGTTGTCTGCACGTATGTATACGTGCGAGCTGCTCATAATAACAGATAAAAGGTGTAGGCGCGGAATGAAGAATTCGCGCGAGTCATCGCCGAGCGCGAACTTTATTACTTACCAACCTCAGACATACGGTGACCTGGCATCGATATTTCCGGATAAATAAATACTCTAACGCTTCTTTTTTCTTCTCCAATTTCTTCCTGCTTCGTTTTTATTTTGCCGTTGTCCGGATACGTTGTAGGTGGATGGATCGTTGTATACGGCACGGCACTGGCCACGTATACATTTTTATATACCAGCGAGCTCTGCTTTTGACCCGGATTCTCTCGTTATATAGTGTATAGTGGTAGTGGTAGTAGTCGCGCATCCTCGGCGTGCACCACGCCACCGTGAAAATAGCCGAGGCGAATTTTTAGGGTGCCGCCGCATCGAGGGTATTACACGTACACTGCACACACACATACGTGTACGTGCTATGATATAAGATACCATATAAAAACTGCTAAGCTAGGCCGTTTTTTGTCCGTATCACAGTTTCTGCAAATACTACACATAGCGCAGGGCCATACTTGCGAGAGTCGAGCATGGGCACGGTATACAGACGTACATACATAGCGTAGCATATACAGTACACATATATGAGTGAGAGAAAAGTAAAAGAACAACAATAGCCGAGCTGTGCGCGTTCGGGCGAGAGCGTGCCATAAAAAACAGTACTCTCCGCTGCGCTACACGTCTATTCTCGCGAGAAAAGTATCTCACACCTATCTTCTCTGTCTCTCTCTCTCTTTCTCTCTCTTTCTCTGCTTGCCTCATGCCTGCCTGCCCTGCCTCTCTCTTGGGGTCATCGATTTTGCCGCTCGCGAAAGACTAAAGCACAAAAGAATATCATCATCCTCGCAGCCAGCCAGCCAGCCAGCTAGCGAACCCACCTACGAGCGCGCGCAAAGCTCGCATATACACACACATACACGCACCCACACTCGCTCACACTTTTGTAATAATAATACCCCCAAGACTCGAGTATAAAAAAGCAGCGTACACATACATCCACACGTATACGGCTACGCACGCGTGCAGAGACAGCGAGAAAATAGCAACAGCTCTCGCAATAACTTGTCAGAGCTGCGCGTGTGTGAGTATGTATAGGTGGTACATTCGCTCCAGTTGGCTCCTTTGTCATTTCCGTTGCAGCCGCCTAGGAACAAATCTCTCTTCCTCACCCTCTGCAGCCCTCCTCCCCACCCCCCTCATCCCCTTCCCTTGCGTACTCACTATACCCCGGGTATTTTTCGCGCCTTTTTTTTTTGTCACCAACGTCGACGCTCACACCACAACGCGGCAACGAGTTCTACTGCCTGCCACCGAAAAATTGTCCAACCACACACAGACAGGCAGTCACACATACACATAGAGAGAGAGAGACTTTTGCCGTTGCTGGGACATTGCACATCGCATTGTGGTGGATTGCAGCGTGCACAAGTTATATATGCCTAGCGGTTGTGCCGCGTGCGCGACACGTCAAGTGAGAGTGAGAGAGAAAGAGAGAGAGGCGAGAGAAAAAGAGGCGCGATGCGATGTATCGATCGTCGCGGGGGCTATCCGCGCGCGCCCCGTGTGCATAGTTCCTCTGTGCTCTGTATCTGTCTGCATACATGTGTGCACAGCTACCTATGCATACACATGCCAGAGAGCGAGAGAGCGAGAGAGCCCAGCACGAATACAACAAAGGCCGCGGCGAATAGGACGATTCTGATGCATGTGCATGTCTGTGCAGTCCGCGCGCCTGCTGCCACTACTGCCACCACTACTACTGCCACTATTACTACTCTCTGGTACTCGCGCGCGTTTGCTGTATCGCATTGTAGGTACGTGCCACGCACGGGGAGCCCTGCACTGGCCAGGTGTGCGCACCGCATGTGTATGTATCCGTGTGCGTAGCTGTGCAGCTTTATATCGGTGTGAGATTTGTGTATGCCACAGCACGTAGCGCAGCAATAGATGGACGGATGGATGGTCTCGGTAGAGTGAAGGAGCGAGAGAGAGACGCAGGTGATTTCGTAATTGTCCGATCGTGCTTGCATTGCAGATTCATCATCGTGCGCACAGAGGCCTCGGCAGAGTCATCGGCCAAACGGCATTATTACATCGACAGACGCATATGCGAGGGCCGATGCCTGCTGCATAGTCTGTCCTGCTGTTGCTGCTGATGCCGATGCGGGGAGGATGCGGCCTGCTGCTGCCGGGGTGCCGCCGCCGCTAGTAGCGCTGGTCACTCGCTGAACTGGTCGCTGCGAAGCCTTTTCCTGCGGGTTGTGCTGCCGCCAGCCGTATAGCGTAGTAGCTATAACACCGCTGCGCGTTGTGTGCAGTGCAGCATACAGCTCTCAGAAAGGCCAGCGCTGCAGCCACCAGCACCGCAACATGGCTAGGCACAGAGCCATCGTCATTGGCATTTGGGCTGTGTTTGTTTTAGCCCTCGTACAAGGTACGTATCAGCTGATATGATGCTCTAGTGCACGCCGATCGCTCTCGACCTGCACCACTATACTATACACGTATACCGTAATATATATATTTGTCGCGCGTCGCTCGGTTTGTGCTTGCACAAGCGCAATCTGATGACCAACAAACGAGAGAGAGAGACACGATCGCAGCCAACTGACTTGATGACCGCGCGCCTGCTGCATCAATAGCTATTCATTAGGCTTTGCTGCTGCAGCAATGTTGTAGTCCGGCCTAAAGCGCGTCGCGGCCACTCGCTCTCTCGCCTATGGGAGTATATAGGCGTGAAACTATCGGCACGATGTTCCGAGGCTCAAAGAGCGAGCGAGAGAGAGCTTGAATATATGTACGCAGCGCAAAACCACGCAACACGGCCCAAAGCGCGCGATTGCAAAATTAATTTCAATGAGGCAGCAGCGGCGCAGTAGCGCGTCGACGACGTAAACCTCGTCGTCGTGCCGTGTACGGTCGCGCTTGATTTATTATTGTTTTCACAATACTATGCAGCAGCATACGCGCGCTGCAGCACTGCTGCACTCAGCAGCAGCAGCACACCACGATCACGCAGAAAATTGTATAGAATTCAGCCGAATTCGCGCTCTGGCTGATATCCCAGTTATTGTCGTTGATGTTGTACCTCTTCCGAGGCGGAGCACATGCCTCCTCCTCATCCTACCCCTACCGAACAACCACGTCCGATCGATGAGTAATTATTTTATTATATATACGTATAGCGTGAAAATTCGCTATAGGAGGCACGAGCGCAAAACCGACTCGACTCTCTTCTACCGTTAACGATCTCGTTATATCGGACTTTTTCATGATTCGAGACGTGCACCGGGCAAGGCATTAAACTCTTTCCCGAGACACGAGGTTGCGAGAAATTAAGACTGCGAGAGCTATAAATTTACAAGCGTAATTATTTTCTTTCATCGTCGTTATACGTGCAGAGTCGTGACTGCTACAAATCAGGCCGTACTTTTATCTCAATCTTATCATTCATGAAACAAAGACAATACGAGCGCAAAAAATCATACTCAAAAAAAAAAAAATTTTTCTATATATCTCATGAAAATTGTTTTGTCACTTGCGAGTTCTCGATACTACATCTGTTGGTGGAATCCAAAAGCTCGTCATCTTAAATTACGAACTGATACTAGTACTGAAACAACCACGGCGCGCAAAAACAATACCCAACGTGCTTATAGAAGTTTTACTTATAAAACAAAAAAATTTATCAATTGATTATTTTATTGGTCCATAATTAATTACGATTCTCAAGCGTATCATCGCTATGTACGTAATAAAGCAGAGAGCTCGCGAGATACGCGCTCGTGAATGCGGCAGCAGCAGCATCGACGCTGCGCCGGGTAAATTATACGTTCGAATAATATAAGACATTAAATCGTCGTGCTCGGCATAACGTAGAGTATTAATCGACTGCTCTCGTGTCTATATGCAGCCTATGCTACACCCACAAAATCGACGACGTCGAGCAGCAGCGGCAGCAGCAGTAGTAGCGAGAGAAGCGACTTGATTTCATGAAGCCAATTTCCGAGTTTCGCAGCATCCACATGACAGCGTTTCGACGTAATACAAGATTAGCTTGCCTATATGGATGCGTCGGAGGTGCATACTGTACCCCCTCCTTTTCTCTCTCTCTCTCTCTCTCTCTCTCTCTCTCCGTTACTGCATCCAACGTAACTAAAGAGAGAGAGAGAGAGTTAGCTGCTTGTATCTCTTGTATATTATGTACATCGATTTGCTACTGGTCGCAGCCGCGTACGTACGTGCAGTGTGTGTGCGAGGCCGCCGCCGCCGCAGCGCACTCTCGACCGGCCGCATGGGGATATTGAGAACGAATTTACACCCAATTTTCGCACGAGAGCGTCCCACTACCACATCGACCCCCTCGCTCCTACCACCCCGGCCCTCCGCCGCTGCATACACTCAGCTCGCCACTTGACCAGAGGCAGATTTATCTACATTAGAGAGGAAATTCGTCCTTTACCGGATTCGAATATAGAATCACGCCGCTGGCAGCACCTACAACTAAGCTTATAAAGCTTTAACTGTCTTTCGCTGCGCTATAGTAACGCGTAACGATCTGCGGTGTGTAGAGCAGCGCTAAAAATTCAACTCTCGACTTAAACCAATGCATAAACGAAGCTTGATGCAATTGTGTGCCGAGCTGTATAAATTTGGGTGCACGCTCCACTTTTACAGAAATCAAAGCGCGTCGTTGATACACGGGGATCGACAAGATACATTGACCCCGCGGAGCAGCGACACTTCCCGCGCGAAAATAAACGAAATATGGAATAGCTTGGTGACCAAGAAAATCTCTCTCTGGGTTAAAAATAAAGCTAGCCCCCGAACGCTATGATGATACAATACACTCTTCGACTCGGCTTATTGATCTTTCTCGCGCTGCGCGCGCTCGCGAAAGAGCGAGAGAGACAGAGAGACGGAGCTTTTGAGTTGTGCATTCGGAAAAAGAGAGCAGAAAAGCCATTTTTTATTTTTGCACGCGGAAACCGAGTTAGGATGCTAAATGCCAGATTACAGCCATCCGAACGCGCCGCACCTGCTCTCTCGCGCTGCTTTTAATGATAAACTGACAAATCATTTTTCGCGGTATTTATAATTGAAAATGCAAGGATTATCCAAATACTCGTTTTCATGATGCACGCGGAATACCGTGGCGCGCGCGGGTTCGATCAGTTTAAACGGCTTACCGTTCGAATTATATACTTTTGTATGGCTCCAGCCGTGCTCCAGCGCAGAGGATATATACAATTTTATGAAGACAACGCTTGCGCGCCCAGCCGAGCTTTCGAGCCCGGGGCTCGCTTTAATGTCACTCGTGCTCTCTGCGCACTGGTACAGTACTGCTATACGCAATACGCGTATAGTATAGAGTGCTCGCGCGAATTTCGAGAGGGGAAGAGGCGCGTACAGCACCAGATGTGGAGTAATTAATCAGCATTGATTATTCACACTCGTGGTATTCAAATAACACCTTGATTAAAATAATGACCATTTGCTACTATTACGTGAACCACTGCAGCTGCCATTGCTGCTGGCTACTGCTTTGTCGAAATCAGCCCAAAATCGAATGTTTGCCCACCGAATATAACTTGACTCTTCTGGTTGGAAATTTTTGGTGCGCATGCGCTGCGCACCGGGCATTTTTCAATGTCATCGCTCGCTCGTATACTTTTGAAAGGAAAAAATAAATTCAGCGTGATTATTCTGCAAATCGAATCGATGAGCCAAAATAGCGACGTCTGAATTTCCAATACGCCGGTGAAATAGTTATCGTGCGCACTGTCAAAGTTATAGCCCGAAATGAGGGTAGCGCGCTGAAATTGCACAATTTTAGTACTGACAAATTTATAAACTAGGAACAGAATAACTCAGGCTGCAGCGCTCATTCATATTTTATGCCAACCTATACTTTCATTCTCTTTTTCCGTTATTTGTAGCTATCCAAGGGAAACGAATCGGTCGAAAATGCACCATCATTTAATCATGCGCTACGAAAGCTTTTACTTTTTTCAAGCCAAGCTTTCGAGCTTCAACTTGATTATTGTTTGTCAAAGCTCGTCGTTTAATTGCACATGAAATTCGATGCTCACGGAAATCGCACAAAAAATTTTCCCTCTCCTAATTTTTTGCTTCAGTATTTTCAGAAGTTTTTTCTGCGCTTATACCTGTGATCAAGTTTTTCATTGCCATATTATTCTAATATAAGCGCATATTATTCTTTTTATCGAATGAGTGAAGCGGCGCGCACGAGATTCCATTTCAAAAATATACTCTCGCGGAGCCACGTGTCAGAACCCGTCGCTCGTACGTACAATAAGCGGAATCGTATTTTCAATTGTGGTTCGCGCGAGCAAAAAAAAACTGCTGTACTCGCGTATTTCATGCCGACGCTCGAGATACGTGAGCCGTTCGTATTAAAAGTGCACGTTGTTAATTCATAAAAGCCTGTCATTTAAATGATTACCATAAATACGTCAGTTTTTTTCCTAATTATTTTGCAGCTTCACAGCTGATGCAAAAGTGACACTTCTTTTTTATTAAATTTACATGAGTACTTTTTTCTATGTACTAAAAATGCAGCTCCGAAGTATTATATATTAATTACCCTTGAGTACATAGAGCCGGTGACTATTTGGTATAAAACGAGTATCTTCTCGACTATTAATTCAATTTACATATTCATGAAATTGTCGTTAAAATTGTACCAAACGCTCTCGAGCAAAGGCGAAATCTAGTAAATACTTCCCCGATGTAAATTCCGATCATTTTGAATCGAGTATTAACGAGCTCAAGATCGAGAATTAAGAGCCGAGCTATGTATATATTGGAACTTGAGTAACGTAAGTAAATGTCTAGCGCGCATCGAAATGAGTTTATCACTTATTGCAGCGTTGATATGAAAATCTATCTAAATTCTAGAGCACACGCGGAATCGTACATGCAGCCATATGAACTGTACTTCTTGATATAGCAATTTGTATTTTGATTGGAATTGTTATTGGCGATTACTTTTTGGTTACCCGAAAAACTCAGTTAATAAATTTTTCTCTTGATTGAACGAGTGTAATAGATATATACCGATCGTTTTACAATTTCGTTCGATTCAACTGTCAATATTCGCAAATTAATATGTATCGAATTCGGCAAATATATGCATTATACATTATTGCGTTAATGAAAAGTTTTTACGCGGCGGGGCGTATTTGGCTCCAGGCCTACGCAACCGCACACTCGTATACCTATATATAATTTAATAAATGTGTCAGCGAGCAAAGATACCCCCTCCTGCGAACACCTCAATCGTTTTATACACGTTCGATGCATTTGTAATACGTGAGAATTGTTTAATCACAATTAAAATTCAATTTTAACACCACCAGCACGCCAACAAGTATATTGTTTTCGCCTGGTATTTATATCATCCCGCCCTTTAATTTATAAGCAACTGGGAAATTTTCAGTGAGATTTTTACAGCGAAAGTGATGCAGAAATCATCGTTCGTTAGCTTTATCCTGTCAATTTTCAATTACTACTATTGTTACATTTTAATCAAAAATCTTTCCTCGTTTGAAGCGTCATAAATATTCACAATATTTTCGCTAGATAAATCGAATTTTCTATCGCGTCTTGTTGATTATTCACAACTCGACATCAAAATGATACTGATTCGGGTCAATTGAGCATTCCCGATGGCTGGGGCAAAAGAGCCCAGTGTCAATTTCATCACTGTTACGCTAAAAGAGTTAAATCAAAAAACCTTGCAAATACACACACACACACGCGCGCGCGCGCGCGTAATTCACGTTGTACGCGGGTAACGTACACGTCTATAACTTCGGGAAATACTGCGATCGAATAAATAATTCACAGCTCGTTGCAGTTGACGTGCCGAGGCCGCGTTCAATGATAATTTGCTCACGTTTGCAGCAGCAGCGGCAGAGTAGCGCGTGCGACGTCGCTCGAAATGATATTACATTATTATACCGGTCAAGTGATGTTCGCTGGATTATTAATTTTCTCGACACGTAGATATCGCGTATATATACGAGAAAAAAACGAGAGGGTGGGAGAGAGGAAGAGGGAGATTTTCGCGGTTATAAATAAAAATATATAGCAATGAGAAATGTATCTATCAAACGGGGGTGAGCCGTGTGTCGCGAGAGGCCGAACGGGACGGAGAAATCTTTTATAAATGACCCGATGTGCTGCAGAGCTAGCGCGCGGCTAAGATAGTGCGCTACGTCGTCTGGAACTTATCCAGTGTCACGAGCGCTAAAAAGCCTACCCAAAAGCTATTTGTCTTCGCTCGGGTTGAGACGTCTCTCTTTCTACCTCTCTCGAGCCGCGCTGTAGGGGGTATACACGGAACAGGATCTATATAGTTGCATTCGCGGAAGAGCTGCTCCGAAAAAGAATAAAAATCACCGGCGCGTATATGCTGCTACTACTACTGTTGGGAAAAACATCTGCTCTCTCTTGCTCTCTATATATACCAGAGGTGATCGCACTCGACTCTCTTTCACTTGTCCAACTCAAAGAGTATTTGTTTTGTCCGATTACGTTCCGACTGTAGCTATAGTATGAACGCGCGGGTGCGCCATCCCTTCCACGAGTAGGAGAGAGAGAGAGAGAGAGAGAGACGAGTACCTAGCTAGCTATATAGAGCTATATGACGCACAAGCTGTCGTGATAAAAGCCGAGAAGGTCGAGTACGTCGGTATACGCGCGGCTGCAGAAAAGGAGGATCGAAGTACACGCGGCCGCGCGTACCAGGAGCTGCCTCTCGAGTAGTATTTATAACGGCTAATAACTGATATTACCGAAAGGAGGCTATAACCTCTTTAGCTCGGTCGAAGAGAGCAGCTTGTACCGTATTCCGCTATATCTTCTTTATTTATAAATCAAATATCTGACTCGAGCGCTCTCGATCTACGTACGTTCTTTTTTGGAAGAATTTGAAATAAAATATTTTCATATCAATCGATACTTGCATCGTTGCGAACAAATTGACGGTGAAAATGAGAAAAGCCTCGATACAACCGAGTTGGTTCGCTTGAAATATCAAAGCTTCATCGGCTCGTGTAATATAAATATCGCGAGTCATGTACGACACATGGCATAGATATAGGGCATAATGTTTCACACCAGCTTAGACACACACGTACGTACCACTCAAATCGTTTAACCAGTCGAGTTGGCTCTGCGTACGTGTGTGGAGCAATAGGTAAAATACACGTACGTATAGACGCGCGCACACATATGCGGCACGTACGTACAAGGGTAGATGTATAGGGCTGACGCGGCGCGCAGTCAGGCACATAGAGAACACGCTTATGTAGGCATACAGCATTAATAGCATAATTGATCATGGAGAAGGCGGTGGCTACGTTACTGCTGGTGCTAGTGGCAGCGCAAGAAGGGCTGGTTAATTTAATGAATTGACTGATAATGAATCAACGAACAAACGAACGAGAGAGAGAGAGAGAGAGAGAAAACGAACGTTTAGTTCCTCGGTTAGCTTTGTGATCATTAAATAAATTGACGACTACCACCACGTGCTGCAAAACATATATATATCTGTATATAAACACACGCGTAGCCTATATATATGTATGTTTACAACCTCAAAATAGATAAATCGTTTTAATTACTTACGCCGTATGCGGCATCGCGAGAGCTGAGCCCGTGAGCGAGCGCGCGCGAAAGCTGCGTGTAAGCGCAATTAAAACGAGATTAACATAGGAATCCGCGCAGCGCCACTACGCAGCGCTGGCGGCTCTCTTGCATACATACTTACGCGGATTTCGAGCAGTGCAGCAGGCCAGCGTGAGCTTTGCTGCTCTATGTGTTTGTGTGTGGGTATGTGGGTGGGTGTGCATGTGTGCGAGTACGCGTACATACGCTCTGGGTCAAAAACGTCATCCGATTTTCAGTTTTGGTTTACGCGTTGCGATATCGAATTACTGAGCTTTGGCTCTCTTTCTCACTTTCTCCACCCCAGGCCGAGGAGGTTTTCCTTGATTCAAAATGAAAAAAGGAAAAATAAAAAAAAGTAAAGCAAACAACTTAGGCACGCACAATCAGATCGATTAATTTCTTTTTATTTTTAGTTTTACGAGGCAAATGAATACAAAAAAGGTAAATTAGATTTGAATTTCAAATGGAAGGAGTATAACAGCATTTTCCACTTCTTTCTTGTTTTTTTCTTCTTTTTCTTTTTTTTTTTTTTTTTTTTTTTTTTTTTTTTTTTTTTTTTTTTTTTTTTTTTTTTTTTTTTTTTTTTTTTTTTTTTTTTTTTTTTTTTTTTTTTTTTTTTTTTTTTTTTTTTTTTTTTTTTTTTTTTTTTTTTTTTTTTTTTTTTTTTTTTTTTTTTTTTTTTTTTTTTTTTTTTTTTTTTTTTTTTTTTTTTTTTTTTTTTTTTTTTTTTTTTTTTTTTTTTTTTTTTTTTTTTTTTTTTTTTTTTTTTTTTTTTTTTTTTTTTTTTTTTTTTTTTTTTTTTTTTTATCGTGTCGTTTGTTTGTAACCGACAAAAAAGGGAAGAGACAGAGATAGAGAGAACAAGCAAGGGAGAGAAAGAGAGAAATGAATTGTGTAATTCCTTGACGAGCGAGCGGGGACAAAATTTCGTTGCCGGATGAAATAGGATTCCACGTTTATGACTACTATTTTAAAAGGGAACAAAAGACACAGTACGTACTGTCTTTGTCGCTCCTCAATGGAGTGCGCATGCAATTTTTGCCCCTTTTTTCTCTCTCTCTCTCTCTCTATCTCTCGTTTTTTTCGTCGCTTCTGCGAGAGAACCCTAATAATTCGCCCGGTTGATATATCAAATCCGCCAGCGTGAGTATGTGCATTATACGTACAGCATGCATATAAACGCGGACGATGAATAACAAAAACTACTCTCTCTCTCTACTATACTCTGCTGCTGTCGCGGTTGAAATTTTTAAATATATATTTACTCCCTAATGAAACACAAAGAGAAAAGTTTCGCGAGGCGAGTCATTTCTCTCTCTTCCCGCGCACTTTCTCTCACTCTCACTGGATCGAGAGCTCTTTTTTTTCCTCATAGTACATGTTATTTACGCGAGCGAGAGTCTCGGTGAAAAAAAGTGTCAATCCGATTGGAAAGCCACTTTGGCGAATTGACTCGGCGTGCGCGCGCGAACCAACGGAGCGTAACCTTTATATTCTCAATATAAAGCATAATCCAACCATTGATACGACAAAAACTTATTCGTACTTTCGTATCGGCGCGTGATGTACGCAATATATATAAAAAGTAGGGATAAATGATTTATTCATCGTTACCCCCAAATATCAACGGTTGTATAAAACGTTATAAGCTACCGTACCACCAATGCGACCCCTACTCCACGTGCACACAAGAGTTGCAAAAAAAAAAAAAACTGAAAAATACACATACATATTGTACATATACACGCATAAATACGCGCAGGTAAGCGGCGAACAAACAGAGCAGAATAAAAGTCGCTGAGTTATTTAAGCGCATGTTGTACGAGCGCGCATACAGTCGCTAATAACGCGATTATACATTATACGTGTGAAGCAGCAGCGGCGGCTGCAGCGGGTATTTTCAATTTTAATAAATTAAAAAATAATTAGCGCGAGCTCGTGCGCGAGAAAGCGCTGAAAATGAGCTTTTAAAACTCGATTGAATGTAATCTTATATATAGATATGGGGAAATAATCGCCAAGGTATTTAGACACCTGCGGAGATTTGCTCTCTCTCCCTCTCCCCCCCTCTCTCTCTCTCGCTTGCGCGCGCGAATCGAGGAAAATCTGGAAATCCTTTTATAATGGCTTTGGCTTTCGCCCAGCAGCAGCGGAGGTGAAGAAGCAACGACGCTCGTTGCCGCACGCAGCTATATATACGGGCAAGAAACGTAGAGCAGAGTCGTATATATATCCGCGCTATACATTTAATCTTATAAATCCTCAAGGGAAAAATCTTTATTGCGAGACCATATATACATCGTGCGTGTATAAGCGCGGGCGCTCGGGCGATGGAATAACGCGCCGGTGCAAAAAAAGGAAAAATACATATAGATGGAGATAAAAACTCAGGGGGGGTGGAGGGGAATTATATCGACGCGCGTTAAATCGTCGCACTTACCCATAAAAAAAAATCAATGACAACAATAATCACGTATAGGAAATTATCCGAATTGCAGAATCAAAACCCGTGAGCTGGGAGGAATGGTGGACGTACGACGGTATCTCGGGTCCGGCGTTCTGGGGCCTCATCAATCCCGAGTGGTCGCTCTGCAACAAGGGCCGCCGACAGTCGCCGGTGAACCTCGAGCCGGGCCGGCTTCTCTTCGATCCGAATCTGCAGGCGCTGCATCTGGACAAGCACAAGGTGGGCGGGGTGCTCACCAACACGGGCCACAGCGTCGTCTTCACCGTGGACAACGACACGCGGCAGCCCGTCAACATAAGCGGCGGACCGCTGAGCTATCGCTACCAGTTCCACGAGATACATCTGCACTACGGCCTGTACGATAACGTCGGCAGCGAGCACACGGTAGACGGCTACAGCTTCCCGGCCGAGGTAAGGATCTAATTCGGAGCTGCTGTATTTTGTATACGAGCTGGGACGCGAATGAGTTCACCACGAGCTTGCTTGCATAGAATATACAGCGTCGCGTATTTATGATCGCGTGTAGTCGTAAAAAGCCTGAGCGATTTCCCTTTTTCTGCCTTATTCCGCCTTATTGTCTCTTGCGCGATCCTCTCTCTCGTGCGCGCGCGAAGCATGAGCTATACAACATGGAGAAGAATTGCGCGACAGAGCTGCAACCGCGGCGTAAGATATACGACATCGTAAATCCCGTGCCACACATAATCCGATGCGTGATATTGCGTAATTTTTATTACTCGCAACATTTTTATCTGAATTATTATTATATATGTGTGTGTGTGTGTGTGTGTGTGTGGATCGCGAGCAAGACTCCGAGATTAGCTGTATTCATATATGGCAGACGCGCTATCTTTGGTACTACAAGCTCTGCGCTGCGCATATCAGGCGTACACGCGTATAATCCTGCAAGATTAAAGGGGCTATACTTAATAGTTACAGTTTCGCGCGTGACTCGAGCGATACGCTACACACGGGTATAATAAGTGTGCGGTATACTACGCTCAGCGCAGAGCGACTAGTGCGGCAAATATTTGCCAAAAGGATGTAGTTGTGCGCGCGGCTACGCGTAAAATTACTCCTGTATGTATCGTATACGTGGCGGCTAGTGCACGTGAGAGCAGCTGCAAAGTATAAGAGCTCGGCGAGAGGGAGGGCAGCTAGCTAGGCAGGCCCTTCGGAAAAAGCGAAAGAAGACACTGCGACTAAGTTCAATTAGAGCTTATTTGCAAAGAAATCACTCTTTGGCTCCTCTTTGAAGCTATCTCGTTCTCTGCGCCAGGACTTTTTCTCGTCGCCACATCTTTTTCTCTCGCGCATATAGCCCCGTGCAAAGTCACGGCTATACACTTGCTTAGTCTCATCCGTGTAATTACAGGATCGCTATTCGCTCTCTTTTTCTCTCTCTCTCTCTCCTTCTTTCTTTCTTGTTCATGCGCGCACAGAGAAAGAAGAGAGAGAGAGAGAGAGAGATAGAGAGTCAAAAAGCTCTCCTCACGGCTACAGCCTCCCCTTTGTCATGTTCATCAGTTTCGATGCATATAATCTGCGAGGCGAGGCAAAGTCCATTTGGCCTTTTAACTTTTAACGCTCCCCCGCGCCCGTACAACACGTATAAGAGCTCTGCACCTCTGCTGCAGGAAAGCCATCTGCACGCCTACGATCTTATTAAAAATCTTGGCGTTCCGCGCGCGCTTCATGGCCTCGTCGTCGTATAATTCGTCCGCCGTTGCCGCTACCGCCACCACCAGCACCGCCACTACCACTACCACCGCGCGCTCGCCTCGGCAATTAGCGACACGTATAATGCATATATAACTGCAGACTCTCGCATGCACATATACATTGCACACATACATACACACGCAGACCTACACATAGAAGCGAGTGAAAATTTCTCTCTCATTTGCATATAGCACCCCCGCTGCTGCTGCTGCTATTTCTCTGTTGCTACTGCTACCACTGCTGCTGCTGCTGCTCCGAACTTATTCGCGTGTATATATAAATATACAAGTGCGTCGACGTATTGTAATCGCAGCAGCGAGCTCTATGCGGTCGCGTCTTTCTTTCTCTCAGTCACTCGGGCTCGTTGTTTATCCATCAGGAAAAGTTGAGTCGTACTGCTATATTGCGAGTATAAGCTAGCTTCAGCTCACTCGCCGGACTGTAGGTAGCTTCTACTACTGGTATAGTAGTGGTGCTATACTACTGCTGCTGCCATGACTGCATCGAGAGTTGAGCTGCTGCTGCTGCGGCTAACTGCTGTAATGCGCGCGGCGTGCGACCGCAGCCCCACACACGAGTCAAATGGGCCGCTAGTCGTGTTACACGCACTAATACGCACTCGGTGCGCAGCTCTGGCGAAATCTCGTCACTCGAAGCTTTGCTTTTATATATTATTACATTGTACGCGGCGTACATACATTTTAATACGCGAGCGACGCGACTCGTTGATTGTTTGCAAGTGCCCCGCAAGCTTCTATATATAGCACTCTTTACTGTATACCGCCGCAGCTCTGCCTAAATCACGACAAAAGCAGCTCCGCGCGCGCGAACAGCTCGCAAGGGCGCCGCGCCGCGTGCGTGCGTGCGTGCATGCAGCTACCTCCGACGAAATATACATATAATATGCATTGTTGTATGCACACGGCACAAGCTGCAAAGTTACAGCGCGCGAAGAAATAAGCTCATTTTCGAAATTCCATTACACTCTGTATGTATACTCGTCTTGCGCGCGTATACACTCACATACAAATGGTGAGCAAGTATATACGTGCCCGGGCGAGAGGCGCTACTCTACAGGTATAATATAATGCGCAGCGGCGGCAACGGCAGCGCGCTACACGAATGAGAGGTTTGACTAGCAGGGTAGAGCATTAGGGGCCGCAAGATGCGCATCTTTTGGCGCGTAGCACCACTGAGCTAATTATTATATATGTATCTGATCGCGCGCGCACACGGCCTCTCACCCTCGGCAGCGGCTGGAGTACGGGCACGCATACACCTTCTACACGCTCGTCTGTGTTAAATGTGTGTACGTGCGAGTGTTGGGAGGTGTAAGAGAAGCAGCTACTTCACCTCTCTGGCAAGGCTATGTACGCAGGCTATACACATATAGAGAGCAGAGCAGAGCAGAGCCGATGGCAAGCAGCGCGCGAAATGCATGCATGAGCGTGCTATTGCACAGGCAGGCAGGCAGGCAGGCAGACTCTCCCTCTCTCACTCAGTCATGTGGATACATACGTACATACATACATGTATATTTCAAAGTCAATTTAACGGTCGCACGAACTTCAATTAGATATCATGATTATTATATATATTTCACGACTGGCAAATGCTCAGCCCCCAGAGCTGTCTCTAATATTTATTGAATAAAACGTTTACCTAATGCTTCATTAACGAATGAATAATGAGATACGAGTGAGAGCGTGCTTGACTCGCGTCGGCCAATATAGCTTTATTTTACGCATTATATAACACGTACGCTCACCTGCTCGCGCAGCATGAGGTACACAAACACACGCATTCACATATCGTGCTTGCTATACCTTGCTGAGAGAGCCAGTGGATGCGAGCACACATTTACACACACACACACCTGTACACGCACACGAGTGCGCCAAAATTGGTCAGGTATGCTACGTCGACCCCCCCTGCAGCAGCCCCGAATGCTACGAGGTCGTTTCGCCAATGTGCACAAAAGCACACACGCAGCCCTGCAGCAGCAGCTAGCAGCAGGTTCATACCCATATATAGTACAGCTCGTAGGATATAGTATAGCCACGGCCAGCAGCAGCAGCAGAGACGCGCGCGCGTGGCACAGGGCAGATTCGAGGAAATAGCCTATAATACCTGGCTACTACTGCACACACTCACTAGCTCTAGCTCTCGCTCACTAGCAAAGCTCGGGCGTCGTGTGCCAGCAGCAGTGCCGAGGCTATAGAGAGAACGAGCGAGCGAGAGAGAGAGAGAGAGAGATAGAACTCGAGCCACTCTCGAGGTCAAGTGTATGTGCATAATTTATTTATCCACATGTGTGCATAATATATGTGCGTGCTAGCAGCGGTATAGTGATGCGAGTGAGCAAGAGAGAAAGAGAGAGAGCGAGCTATATATAGCATAACTGAAAACGGGGCACTGAGCACGCAGTAGAAAGCTATATAGTTATGTACGCAAGCTACGCGGCCAGGCTACAGATTATACAAATTAGCCTATATTCGTGCGTAGGCAGCCCCGCTAAATATGGCTCGTGCAACTCCGCTCTGGGCCTCTCTGCTGCTGCTGCTCTGGTTACAGCGTATACGTAATTGAAAAGCGTCAAAATTTCACCGCTGTACCCTGCATACACACATACATACACGCGCAATACGCAAGCACACAGATACTTATACTCTCGCGTCGAGATTTTATCATACTGGATTTTAAATATTCCTCGATGCGTGTGTGTGGGGGGGTGTACGTGGCAACGGCAGCAGCAGTCGGCGTAACGATTTTTGAGCGCTCCGCACGCGCCCCGAGTATTGTTCGCTCTCTCACGCTCGACGTGTGCCTTTGTCTCGGTTACACTGCGCTGTATACATGGTATATATGAAAGCGCGAGCGCGCGCGGGGATACAGCTTGCAGAAAGCGTCGGGTATATACGAAGAAAAAGAAAGAAGGAGCGAGAGAGAGAGAGAGAAGAGTACCTATAAGAGATGAGTTATTATCCGTTTTACAAGGAAGTCTCGGAGAATCGTCGAGTCCTTTTTTTCTGCTATACTTATACACTCGACTCGCTCCCTCTTCTTCGTCCTATGTATATAAAAAAGTACGTCTATATGCATTGCAACCATTACGAAAAGAAAGGAGCGAAAAAGGAGAAGGTAAAGATCTCTCAATGAGCTTCGTAATACTCCAACCTCTGACCCGGAATGTCGTCGTGCTTTATTTATTTTTTTTTTCGTTCCCCTCCTCGTTCGCTCCCTCCATCCCATCTCTCTCGCATCAAATGACTTCTTATAATTCCTTCCTACTTCCGTGCGCTTTGCTCGCGGAGCTTTAAGTGTATCGACGATTTGTTTAAAAAAGCTCTCAAACCCTCGCAAATGATCTTGTGCCGGCTCGCAGCTCGAAGCGTATTGTGAACTTTTGATATATCGCCCACGTTTTGTTATAAATTCGATCAAAGAGTAAACGATGCTCGCTGGGGCCACGCTCGAGTACCACGTGATATTAACCAAAACTCACGCACACACCTTTTTAGAGAACTCGCACGCTGCATATAATATATAGGCTTGGCCGATTCAGGGCTATAATTAAATTAGAGACAGGAGGTGAGCATTAAACGAGAGAAAAGCTACGCTCGAGATAAAGCTCTCTCGCCGAAAGAGAAAGAGAGAGAGAGAGAATTCAAAATGGTTGTAATTGGGCAACAGCTGTGTGAGAGTGAGATAGAGAGGGAGGAAAAGGATGGGCGCAGCCGCCAACAACTAGAAGATTACTGGCTAATTCGAAGAGTAATTTGACAAACGTCGAGAGAATTCGCGTACACTCTCTCGGCCTCGCGCTTGCACACTCGCTCCACTCACCTCGCCTCTTTTGCAGCAATTTCATCCAAATTTTACCCAAAATGAGCAGATATTACGCGCGCGCGCGAGGCTTCTTCTTTCCCCGACGATGCTAATATACATATACTCTACTTGTACTATATACCGGGGGAGGGCTTCGTATGCATAAGATAATTCGATTCTTCCAGCGAAGGAAATTTTCCTCCTCCTTTCCCATGCATCGAAAGCTCCTCGCTCGAGCTGAATAATGTCGCGTGCATGGCCAGGATTAAGAAATGAATAGGCTTTATAATACGAACGCGAAGGCGAATCATTATCGATTGTTCGACGCGTGCCATCTCTCGCCCGCGCGCACGCCAAGGAAAATATAAGCTCCTTAAACTTTTGCCTGCTTTAAGATTAGAATTTTCTCCACTGTTATATCTATACCCGGTCCCATTAGAATATTCGATGTCATCCGGCTCACTCGCGACAACGTGGCAGGCCGGTGGCAAAGTTCCAGTTTGAATTAAATAAGTTGATCGTTTCAATTAGTCCGCTGTTTAACTTTCTCTCTCGCACTCTTTTCTCGCTACTCCTTTCTTTCTTTTTCTCTCTCTTTCTTTCTTTTTTTCCAAGCGATTGATTAACCAATCGGACGATATAAAAGTCGCGCGCGTTTATTAATTATCCCCCTGCTGCTCGCGCGCGCGAGGCTCTTGGGCTATACTACGACGTACGGCGCGAATAAATTGAAAGAAAACATCTTTCCAACTTTTCAAAAGTGCATGCTAATCATTGCTCTTTGTCTCGTATATATATAGAGAGAGAGGTAGAGAGAGAGAAAGAGAGAGAGAGAGAGAGAGAGAGAGAGAGTGAGACAAAGTTGAGCCAGAGAGCCAGCAAATACACTCTTTTGCCCCTTTGGTCTTTCTTATGCAAATCGGCAGGCAAACTTACTGACGCTTGCGTGCGCGCGGGCGCGTGCAGCTCTACTCTGCCTAGAAGCTTTCTTTCTTCATGCTAATTAGCAGAAAAAGACTCCGCGAGAGAGAGAGAGAGACCATCTCCAAGCGCGTCGTCGCACAGCGGCCACTATACCCCAACTAAGTATGAATTTTACTGCCAGGCTACGAGTCGAGAGGCCCGGCCCGTGTGTCTTTGCCCGCCGCCGTAGTCACCGCCAACCGTGCTGCACTGCGTTAGATATATAGAGTGAGAAAGAGAGAAACAGCAACGAGGCTGCATATGAAAAAATAAGATAAAAAAAAAGGAAGTCGGCGCGTGGCACGAGTGAGAGAGAAAGCAAGAGAGGAAGAAAGCGAGCACGCGGGAGTAGTATAAAAGATAAACAGGAGAGAGAGAGAAGCCGAAGAGCGCGCAAAACGAGTAAAGAGAGAAGAAGAAAAAAAAAGAGAAAAACAATCATCGCGTTTTCTCTCTCTCTCTCTCTCTCTCTCTTTCTCTCTTTCTTTCTTCATTGCGCGTTTGCTCGCGCGCTATATAGTACTTTTCTAATCCAATATAAGCCCTCCCCTCTTCTATCTATCCTTGATAAACAAGTAAATTCGATTAAAAGCCACTATGCGCCTGTGTTTTATCAACAGATCCAGATATTCGGCTTCAACTCGCACCTCTACAACAACTTTTCGGACGCGCTGCATCGTGCTCAAGGCATCGTGGCCGTATCCCTGCTACTTCAGGTACGTATTAAACGTGAGAGACCGAAGATCTCCGCAATCTCTACCTTGGCCAATTTTCCGCGATATATCTATATATCGATTACTTTACCATCTATCTATCTATATATATAGACAGTAAACCGTTTTATCAGCGTCTATCTTTCGTTTTATCTTTCTCACTTCTTCTAATCCTTTTTTTCACTTTTCGTCGTATAGATCGGCGATCTGTCGAATCCCGAGGTGAGACTCTTTACCGAGCATCTCGACAAAATCACGTATGGTGGTGAGTATCAAAATAAAACAAATCAAATATATATACATGGCTGGTTCTTTGCGAAACAGAATGGTGAAAAAAAGTCATCAGCGTCTCAAAATTTTATTGAAAAATGATCATTAAAATTTTTTTAAAAGGCATTACCATTGACTGACTTGTTTATAGCAATTTTTCTGTTACAACTATAACGCATTTAAAATAACTTGAAAATGGCATTTTAAACATTTCAAAAATATTTTGAACAGTTGTGAATGACTTTGAACTCGGTTATACTACCTCCGATAGTCTAAGTCTCAACACTAGATGGAGAGTACCTCCATCTGTAAATCTGCAAGTGGCAAAGTCAAAATAATTGTATAAGTATATACAATTAAGATATTTGTATAAATTATTTTGATATTAATATTGAAAACGTTTAAATTCTTCGCTTAAATTGAAACGTTTTAATTAAAAATTAACTTTTCAATACTGATTAATTTTTTGTGATTATTGGTCAAAAAATATGTCCAATGAAAATTCAATCATAATTAAAGCCTGTCTCTACCACTAGATGGCGAGCACCTCCATCTGCAAATCTGCAAGTGGCAAGGTCAAAATGTTCATATAAGTCGTAGCAAGGTTTTTAAAATGTTATGATTCAGAGTTTTTATTGCTAAATTAAAAAATTTTCTAACTAAAAAATTTTTTTTGACCATTCGATTTCATAGAGAATCGACCATATATTATGCCACATGCTCGAGGAATCGAGCGATAGCAAAGTAATTTATTAAATAACCGACGTATGTTCTTATTTTTTTCCCTTCCCTTTTTCACGTCGTCTTGGGCACATGCACACACAGGCCAATCGATAGATATCAAGAGAATCGGCGTGAGGGAACTGCTGCCCGACACGATGCACTACATGACGTACGACGGCTCGACGACGATGCCGGCCTGTCACGAAACCACCACGTGGATCATACTCAATAAGCCAATTTACATAACGAAACAACAGGTGTGTAATATTCTACTATGCTATATATAGGTGTAACGCTCGCGCTCGCGCGCGCGCGCGCCAAGCACGTTAAACTAAATCAATTTTTTTCATTATTATTTTGCTTCACGCTTCGTATTATATGCCGTGTAATATACGCTGCGCGTTATTAATGTATCTTCGTATACAATCACCCATAGAAACCACGTACGCTATACGTGCTCCGGGTCTGTGGGTCAAAGTGGCGCAGCACATCGAACGCTATAATTGCGCGCAAAAAAAAAATAACACCGCCAAATATTTGCCGCGTATTTGACGCTTATATCATAAAGTCACATACGCACGTGCGGGTGGATGCCACGCTATACTTGGCGTTTCGCTCGCGCGCGACTGGTATAATATCAAAGGTGAAATTGCGCTTTTCCGTATACGCACAAACACTTACACACACACATGTACGTGCGCGTGAGTAAAGCGCAAGTGAGCGAACGAGGTGTATGTATAAACGACTATTACATTCCTAGGCTCTCTATCTCGGTTTATACACATACTTTCTTGGGATTTACAAGACTAAATTAAACATTCTATCGCAGGCACTGGTCCACGCAGATATGTAAACAGCGTATATTATATATGAGTGTTAAATATACAGGTATACCGCGAGGGTCACAAAAGTCGAAATTTCGCGCATAATACAACGAACAGACGTGATTTTCTCTCTCTCTCTCTCTCTCTCTGTCCTCATCTCTTTGGGGACTCGACACAGCAGCGGTAGTGGCGCGCAAACTATATTGAAGTTTCGCGATATTTACGTTTACGCGGCCCCCGGTACTATATACGTATATATATATGCAAACACTATAAACTTGCTAAAAACTTTGCGAGTGCGAGTGCTCACGTACAGCGCGAAAAAGTATATAGCATACTGGTAATGGTACGCCGTACTGGTAGTAGTGAACACCACCGAGCCAAGAGTAGGAGAGAGAGAGAGAGACACGAGTACATTGCACGTATGTGGGTATCCATTTCCTATCTGTCTAATTTGCATATAAGCCATGTAGATACATCGGGTATTACACGTGTATATGTTATAGCGCGCGGGCAACACAATGGCGGCCGCACATAGAGCAATGATTTTTATCCGCGTCAATCACGAGGGCACAGCGGCGCGGCGCGGCATAGCAGCAGCGCCGAGTGAACGTAATTCAGCCTCTGTCTCTCTGTACTAGCTCGGACATATATTATATTTATGCGTAGTTTGAAGCTTGCACGTATACAGGCAGCAGCGTTTTATTATGCCGCGCATCGGAGCTTACGCGCGCCGTGCGATTAATTGATTAGCTCGGACTCGTTATAGCTCGTGTATTATACGTTATAAATGGGTAACTCTGCGCTCGAGCACGATCATGCCCTTCGATCATCCGTCCGCTGCCGCACGAGAGTAATATGCATACGCGAGCCATCAAACGGACTGGAAACTACTAATTCATTTATGCGTTTAAACTAAATAATAAATAAATTTCCCCGAGAACGACAGGCTAACTATACCACTAGTTCGGGAGGGGCGGCTCTGATTTTAAATGGATATTACCGAAAGCTACTCGCCTCTATGTGCTCGATATATACCGCCCGCGCTATGGGCTATATATGTATATGAAAGCTTTTAATATGACTGTATATACATGTCTCTCTCTACTACTATGTGCCTGTATATCACGCAGTTACGGAGCTTGAGGGAATTGAAGCAAGGCGACAAGCGACACCCAAAGGCGCCGCTGGGCAACAACTTCCGACCACCGCAACCCCTACACCATCGACCCGTCAGGACGAACATCGATTTTAACATTGAGGTATCCAGCTCAGAATGCTATTGCTATACATGTATATAGAAAGTGTACACATCCAAGACCTATGTATATTATACCATGCACACTGCACACAGCCGTCACTGCCGCTGCAGCAGGAGACCTTAAGACTCGACCAAGTCGACCGCTCGAGGAAGGAAGGAACGAAGAAGAAGAGGGTTACTGCATTAATAAACTCCTTGCACTGCTGCAGAGCCGGCTCTAGCTCTCCCTGTGTTATATGTATAAGTGTGTACACTGTTTCGCGGAGGAGAACATTTCGAGACTTGTCCAAGGGAGAAGTCGGGCTGTTAATTCACAGTATACGTATACGTGTATATATGCACAATGCATAGGGAGCCACGGCGATATTGTATTAGGTTTCAGTTTGAAACTGAAATCGTGTCCGACCGAGCGCCGAGTCGTACTACTGCCGCCATCGTCGTCATCGCTACTGCCACTACTGGTAGTGGTAATACTACTCTTACTACCACTACCGCCGCATTACGAGCAGTGTGCAGGAGCGCGCAGATCAGCCCCGACTCTCGATATAATCTACAAAATAAGCCGAAATGTCAATTATATTTTGTAAAGCAGCGGTAAAGCACTCGAAATTCCCTGCACAACGACGTTTAATCGTTATAGATATATAAGCTATTATACGTGCATATATAAATATACGCGAAGCCTCGAATTTACGACGAGAATCGCGCTGACAGGACGAATTAATCGTGTCATTACTCGTTCAACTGGCGTGTATCATACATAATTGCTACTATAAGCTCTCGTACACGAGCAATTGAATATCCGTCTCTCGCTCTCTTCACCCTCTGTACCTTTCGCGCTTTCTGGTCGTGAGCTCTGTGCCTCTCTGTGTGTGTGTATGCACGCGAAGAGAGGGAGGGAGAGTGGCTCTTGCCGCGGTAAAGCACGCTATTCTCTCTCGCTCTCTCGTAACGTTCAAAAACAAAGCGGTATCATCTGGCATTTCGGAATATCGTGACGGTCGTGCGAACGATTCCTGCATACCCAATTGAGGTCGCAATAAAACAAAAAGAGGGAGATGACAGTTTTTTAATTGAGCGTTATATTAAATCAACTCTGAACAACATTTTTTTATACCGTTGCCGAATGAGAAAAATTGCAATCTATGTACATCGAAATGAGAAAAATCATTGTCCAACAGCCGCGAGCGATGCAAACTAATTTCGACCGCGATGAAAATGATCGATCGAGTGTGCACGTGCGGTTTACTTTTATACCTATAGATATATATTATGTACGAGTTTTTCACGATTGAAGCAGTAACTCAAAGCTCTATCTTCGATTCTCCATAAACACACACACACTCACGTACTCACACACAAGAACATACTTGACATTATTCTTTGCTCGCGCTCGAAGAAAGAAAAATACACGGTTTTCTCTTATTGCAGGGCCCAAAGAATTGTCCAACAATGAACAGAGATATTTACTACAAAGGTAAGCTCTCTCTCTCTCTCTCTCCCTTTCGTTTTCTTTTCGTTACCTTCCTTTTTTTCTTTTCTTTTTTATCGCCCAATCTCACATACGCGTATAGACGCCCGACGTTGATGCCTTCTCTTGTTTTTTCACAGCCAATAGCTGGAAATAAATCCGCAGAACTCAAAGAGAGCAAGATTGGTATATACGGGGGAAAAGCCGACGAAGAAGAAAGCAAAAGAAGGAGAAGAGGAAGAAGGAGAGGCGCGGCGTAGGAATGAGAAAAATGGAGAGTCGACGAAACCTTGGGAAAAGCTTCGATTTACCACTTTGGCACAACCGCATCGACATATACGGCGAAGAAGCGAGCGCATGAATGAGAGAAGAAGGAGGAGGAACAAAAAAAAGAGCACGGAATGCACGGAGTGCGTTTTATATTGTGATGATTTCAAGCGAGAGAAAGGATATACACTTGTATACGTATACAGACACACACGTGCGCGCGTATTGAAACAATTTCGTTCTTCTATTGTTTTTTTTTGTTTTGTTTTGTTTTTTATATATACGTACTGTGAGGGATGACAGCAGACTTGATACCGACAAAAATTCATATGTGTATATACGTATACATTCGAACGCACGATGCACTCAATGTCTGTCTGTCTATCTGTCACATATACACCCGGAATAGAGCTCTGGGGCGCGGAGAGAGCGAGCGAGCGAGCGAGAAAGCGAGACAGGGTATATATATCAAGCGACGCTAAGAAAAGCAAACATCAGCGACTACTATACTATACTGTGTATACTTTACTACACACAACTTCTTCTGACGCCACCGTTACTATTACTGCTTCTACTGCTGCTGCTGCTGATGCTTCATCCATATCTCACTCGCTCGCTAAAAGTTGCTCACTCTCAATCTCGCGTATAGCGTTATGCATTTGGTTGCTCTCCGCTGGCGCACTGCACACATTTGTGCAGCCAGCTCGTGTGTTTTTACACGTATATGCGTATGTGTATTCGAAAGCTGTTGCAAAATATTGAAAGCCGAGAACGACGAGAGGTGAGCTTGGTCGCTCGGATGCGTGCGTGCGCGTATGTGCGTAAACGGGCTCGATAGAGGACATACCAATACAATCGACATATCATGCAAAAAAAAAATAAAAGCTATATTATATTATCTGTATACAAACGCGAGTCCACAATGCGTGGCTAAATGGTTGTTGGCGCGAGCTGCTGTTCGACCGATCTGTACGCGTCGCATATAGAAATATGTATAAATAAATTATATATAAATACAAAATATATATACTTGCTATCGACTAAAAACAAAACTATCTCTGTGAAGACGAACAAGAAAGGAAAAAAGCAAAACTATTAACTATTAAATTATAATGTAATAATAACGAGTTATATAAATAGATGTGCGAGGGTATAAAACAAAAAAAAGTAAGGGCTTGCTATGATTGTGAAATATTTTAAGTAAAAAAAAAAAAAAACAAGATGACAGAAGCAAAATTAAAAATATAACGTGTACGCGCTGTTATTATTATTCTGATTATTGCGTAAAAGGAGAAATCGCGTGATGAGCTGTGATGCCTATACGTTGTATACTTAGTCCCTGATGAAAATAGCATAATAAAAATATATCAAACATAATATGGGATTTAAAGATATACAAATTAGGAAACAAAAAACGAACGAAAAACTTACCCGTGTGCTAAGCGAGAATTACTTTTGGGCGAAACGTAGTAGAGTATTTGAAGCGTAAGGAAGCGAACTATGGAAGCACGCGAGAATTAGAATCTGCAAAAAAAGAATTGAAAAGAAAGAAGGAATTAATATGTTATAATACAATACCTGCAGACAAATCACCCAACGATTGATACATCCTATTTAAATATACGTATTTAAATGTACTGACTGTATACGGCTGAAAACACGAAACAATCATTCCTTTATACTTTTAGTGACTTTTGAATGCAATGCAAACGAAACGAAAAATGGTAAACATGAATAACACGAAAATTTATATCTGTATATTACACACATACACCTATACAAGCATATGAGCAAATAAAAACATAACACACCCACATACATTCACACAAAGATTTCAAAGACAAGCAGCTGCAAACTCTCGAGTTCTGTTAATTGTACGAATATGTGTGCAAGCGTGTTGGTCTAGTGGCTACATAGAATACTTTTGTTGAGTCGAGAGAGAAAAGAGAGAGAGAGAGAGAGAGAGAGAGAAAAGAGAGACAAGATATGAAGAAACAGAACGAAAAAAAAGAGACAAGTTTTTCACGTTGCGTGAGGTAGCAAAGCAAACAGAAAAACGGAGCGCGTTTTGTCGTTGCACCGTCGACTTATTATAGATGCTGGTACATACTCGGCTCACTTTTTTTTCCTCTTTCTCTCTTTTTCCTTCTCTCTGGCTCGCAAGCCCAACTTGCTAATAGATCACGTAATAGTTTTGTGTAAAAAAAATTAAACACTAGAGAATTGCTCCGAAATTAAGTTATAAGATGAAGTATAATGAAGCAACAGAAAAAAAAATTAACACAGTTCGATGGACGCTTCAACGCGATGTTTTAGACTATAATGTTACATAAATACGATACATGAAAATATATTATATATTAATATCATTTAAACACGGTACGATTATGAAAAAAGAAAACCGAAGGAATTAACGTAACTCGCGATCGAATGCGAGAAAACAAAGAATTCAACGAGCGACGTACCGAGGATGAATATATTATCATTAAAAAAAATGAAATGACGCAAACTTACGTAAAATATAGAGTTAAAAAATCGCTATTGACTATCGGTGGCTTTTGTGCGCCATATTATTACACACGAGGCAGATTATTGATAAATAAGATATGGAACGGAGTCGAGAAAGGAATGTTACTGTGAAGAACTCGAACCGCTGCGAAGGGCGTCACATTGTGTCAGTGCACAACTTGTAAATGATAAAAGTTTTCGAATGATCGTCGAATGTTCTTGAAACTGCCAATATAAAACACATCGACATATGTAACGAACAATATAAATCACAACATCGGCCCTTTGCCCTTATACGCGGAAAAGCCGTTAGCGCGTGTAAAAGCGGGACGAGCGCTGGTTTGAAAATAGCGGAATGCGTTTACGGAATGTAATATCGGAAACGACGATGACGACAAAGATTAAAAAGGAAAACAACAATAAAGGAATCGAAAGAGAGATATGTGAAAGAGATGCAAAAAAAGAAGAGAAAAACACTCACACACACAAAAAGATTTATACTCTATTCTTGTAATAAAATGCTTTTGCCAAAAGCCAAAAGTCCAATGGCGGAGTTGTATATTCATTTCACAGCGTTATTCGTTTTCAGTGGAAAAAGCCCCACTGATCGTATATTCATCGTACAGATAGGAAAGATAATCCTGACAAAGAAAGTACCTGCAGCGGAATCGCTCGCGTTGTCGACTCGACGTGCCGCAACGCGCAGTGCATCGGATGCTTACCCTGCATCGGTAAGTAGATTCGAATATTCGATTATCGTGCGCTCGCGGTATATAAAACGGCTGATCTCCTTTCACTGCAGCGGTACAGCTGGGTCTTGTGTGCGTATGTGTGTGCCTCGCGATGTAAGTGCTGGCACGATATTTGAACGATATATAGGACGTTATCTTTATTACAAACGCGACGCGATCGATGAGTTACAATACACAAGTGGACGTTCGAGGACCAATTTAATAATAGGTCGCCAACGACGACGCAGCAGCAGGCCATCGACGGTTACAATATCGGAGCGCGCGCACACATACACACACCTTATACCTATACATATAGATGCACGAGATGCAGAAAAAGCGCGGCTACAGCAGCAGCGCCGCCTACTTCAAGAGGTCGCTGATCGGTCAAGTATTTTATAACGTGTATCAGAAAAGCGCCGCGCGTTTCCCCGCCAACAGATACGGCAGTGGCCAGCATCACCTGCACCGACAACGAACGCGCTGCGCTACACACATTGTGAATAGTCGAAAACTGCAAAAGCGCACGACTTGCGTTCAGCGCCACCTGTGCGTGCGCCTCTAGACTCTCTCTCTCTCTCTCTCTCTCTCTCTCTCTTACCCCTTCCGCAGTTCGCGAGTCGACGTTCCAACGGCCAACCCCGTACCCCACCTCCTACGTGCACTCTCGTATACACAGATATAGCATTATATTGCTAGTCATTATCGCAGCGAAAGTAGGGGTGTACTCGGACGAGGGGTAGGTACTTCTCTGCTCTACTCCTCTCTCACTCTTGCTCACAGGCATTTAGCGTGTGCAGTGCAGTGTGTGCAGTTTTTCCCCCATAGCCTATCCAGCATCTCTCTCTCGCGACGGCGACGGCCACGGGGGTGGTGGGAGGGAGTTGGAGAATAGCAGCGCGCGTGCACCGCTGGCGTCGCGCGCGGCGCCCCGAGTAGTCAGTTCTCTTCTGTCTTTGGCGAGGCGCGGGCGTTATTACAGCACCGCGACTGACCGCGTGCTCCGCCACTGCGTGCACCACTAGTGTATGCGTACTATATATCCGATAAACACACTACTACGCGATATATCTATACAAGGTGTGTATATACAGAGGAACAACGAGTGCGAGATACGAGCCACCACCACCGCCACCGCCGATATACTACTGCTGCTGCGTTTAGTTCAGTGTGTCTCTCTCTCGCTCTGTGCGCTTGTTCTCTTCTGTACATGTGTGCGTGGGTGCAGTGTGTATAGCCGTATACGGAGAACGATACGTATACGACCAGTAGTCGGTCGCTGCACTGCTCTGCGGCAAAAATTTTCTCCCGTTTTTTTTGGAGGTATATTCTTTTTTCGAGCGCTATCTCGTCTTACATCTTACAGTGTTACAGTGTGCGCGACTGTGTTTCTCGTTCTTATACGATCGTGCAGTGCTCTTTCTCTCTGCTTTATACATTCCATAGTACATACATAGAGAGAGAAAGAGAGACCGTCTAGTGCGCTCTATCGCCCTCTTTGTGCTCGCAGCAATTATTTCCCATCGCTTGAGCTGCGCTACCACTGTACGTATAGCGCACGGCACACATACACACACGTTCAAGCATATATACTGCTGCATCACGGTGTCTGAGTAGCGCGCGTACCGAGGCAAGAAAAGGAAGCTGCGAGCCTTACTTATAGAGCGCGGAAGGAGAACGAAGAATTTCTCAAAGCTCCTCGCCAGAAAGCGCAGGCAGCGCAAGAGAGAGAGAGAACGACGGCGAAAGGAAAAAGAGAGCCAAAAGAGAGAAGGAAGAGAGAGAGAGAGAGAGAGAGAATGAGTGTGCTCCGTACGTGCGCGATGACAACATCGAGATACGTCCCAAGTGATCGAACAGTGCTTTAAGTCGGACGAGCAAAGTGTGCGCGTCGCAGATCCCGAAAAGTACCGACTAGTAGTTCTGCTGCCGAGTGCTAGTTTTCTTTCTTTTTTTCTCTCCCTCCGTCTTCCTCCTCTTCTTCTTCTTCTTTTCTCTTCTCTCTTTTTCTCTCTTTGCTCTCGACGATTCTGCGAGCCAGAAGTATATTACGTCGTATACCTATATATCTGAAAAAAAAAAAGTATTTCAGTGCGGTGACAGAGTGTGCAGTGTACAGGGCCCCAGTAACGAAGAGAATCTCAACTTCTTCTTCTACTACTGCTACTTGTTTCCAGCAGTTGAGAATTTTACTGCAGCGCGGCGCGGTTACTTTGCCTCGGTAAGCGAGCGCGCGCCAGGAATAAGCAAAAAGAGACGAGCCAAAAAGAGGAATATATAGAAGAGGCAGCCGCCGCAGCCGACACGTTTCATACCGTAGGCCATACCAAATGAGGTTTAAGCCATTTTTCACGCACAGGTGAGCTCTCGATGACACTCGAACGCGACGTCGTCGTCGTTCGTCGTCGCCGTAGTCGTAGTAGTCGGCGACGGCGTTAATTTATTTCCAATATCCGCCTTCGCTCGCGAGTGCAGTGCGCGGATCAAAAGCCTCGCATGCGAAACACAACGTTACATCATACGTGTACATGCACACACGCAGCCCGTAGTTAGTAGTACATACTGACACGTACCTCCCTACCCAAACACACACACAACAAACGGATTTACAGAGAGAGAGAGAGAGAGAGGAGAGACACATCACGCAGCATAATAGTGCTAGAGCTTGTGTATATAGTGAGAGAGGCGATATGGCAGCAGCAGTAGCAGCATCAGCAGTAGTAGCAGAACAGCAGTGGCAGCAGCAACCCCATTTGAGATAGATATTTATATGTACACACGTAGCAGTTGATTCCGTTGTGTGTGTTATACTTGCATGCATGCATGTGTGTGTGTGTGTGAGGCACAGAGGGTGTATGCGCAAAGCTGCGTGCGTTCAAAGAGGGGAAAAGGGTGCAACTGCTCTGGCTCTACTCCGCGCCGCGAGAAGGGGAAGGGGGTTAGCGCGCGGGGAGGAGAGGCAGCACTACGCCACATAGCCCGTAGTCTCACCGCGCCGCGTTCCGTGTTTTGCGCGCTGCGCTGCCGCCACTGCCACCGCCACTGCTGCTGCTTATACTGCTATGCTACTCGCGAATCGCGATCCATACACGCGTATATAGCTGTATATACGGTCCAGAAAAGCCATAATATAACGTGCTGCGCTCGGCACACAGCGTTTCCTCTGTATATGTATGTATGTATGTGTGTGCAGCAGGCCAAGTTGCATCTATTGCGCGCTCGGGGGCTTGTATCGCCTCTTCTCTCTATACGCACTGTATATCTATAATGCTGCGTCTGCACATGCACATTGCACGCACAGCCAAAGCTAGAGAGAGACAGAGGGTGACTACTGACTAACTCTCTCTCTCTCGCTCCCACTGTGTGTACATACACATATTCGTATTAGGTATAAGCGAATGTATGGCTCCGTATATATAGTATACACTAGACAGAGGGAGAACGAGAGACAAGCCGAGTTTCTCTATCTACCTATCTATCTCTCTATCTCTATGCTACCCCTGCTCTCTCTATCTCTCCTCTCCTCTCCACTCCTCTCTCGTCTCTCTGTGTATATACATGTGTATCACGCGCGAGTGTGTATCTCTCTCTGCCACTGCTGATGCTGCTGATACTGCTGATACTGCAACGATCGATATTAACACATACACATGCATGCATGCGAGGGTTCACGCGGAAAATTCATACGCATTCTGCGAGCGCGCGACACACATACCCACTTGATAAATTTATTTATGCTCGCGTCACAATCTCTGCCTTATCTCGCTCTCTCGCTGCACTAACGTTGTTATATATCGCGTATACCACCCTCTTAAAATGTATCGTATATATGTACTTGATTGTGTTACATGTTACGTCGCCGCGCACAGATCGATGGATCGAAGGAAGCCGCATCGTCAGCAGCAGCAGAAGCAGCGAAAAACAGCCGCAGCATCGGGAGGAGCATCGGCAGCAGCCGCATCCAATCTCGAGGAGAGTCTGTAGCTGATCGTGCGATCGCGATGAAGTGATCAGAGACTACACACACGAAATAATAATCAAGAAGAAGAAAAGTAGAAGAAGAGAAGCTGGAAAAATCCACTAGGGCCCAGGGCCTCGTAGCGGCGGCGGCGGCGTGTCCACCACGGCGTCGTCCAACGAGACAGCGGCCGCCACCACCACCACCATTCGTCCCTCAAAGCACATAGATGCGGCGGATGCAGAAGCCTCTGCTCCGAGCGAGGCATCGACAACCACAGCAACAACAACAACCGGTCGTCGTCCGGCTGCTGCTGGTGTCGCTGCTGCTGCTGCTGTCGCCGCTCTGGCTCGATCGACCACCGGTCGTCGAGGCCTTCCCCGACTGGACCGACTGCCCCTCGGTATGCCACTGCAAATGGACCTCGGGCAAGAAGTCGGCCCTGTGCCCCGACGCGGGCCTCACCTCGCTGCCGGCCAATCTCGACCCGGACATGCAGGTGATCGACCTGACGGGCAATCGCATCTCCAGGCTGCCCGCCGACACCTTCAAGTCCGCGGCCCTCGTCAATCTGCAGAAGGTCTTTCTGCGCAACGCCGGCCTCAGGAGCGTCGATCCGCGGGCCTTCGATGACATGCGCATACTGGTTGAGATCGATCTCGCCGACAATTACGTGACCAGCCTCGAGCCCCACACGTTCGCCGGTAACGAGCGCCTCAAGATACTCGTGCTCAGCGGCAATCCCCTCAAGAGGCTCAAGTCCCATCAGTTCCCGCTGCTGCAGCATCTGCGGACCCTCGAGCTGCAGAGGTGCCGATTGCAAGAGGTCCATCCGTTGGCTTTTCAGCGTCTGCCGGCCCTCGAAACGCTCAGGTATACTACTGTACTACGTATACTACTATATACAATAATAAAGCTCCTTTTCTTGTCATGAATGCGACTGCTGCTCCCCTTACGTACAAGTACGCGTAGATCGTGTATACCTATCATATACGTGTGGCCGGAGTACGTCGTTCGTCTAGATATAAATATATATACTACATACAGGCGCAGTTACGTATAGAGATCTGCTGCAGTATATCTGCTCACCTTATTCTCTTTTTTTTCTTCTTCCCCGTCGTACACGCGACTGCAAGAGCAGCAGCCAGCCAGCCAACTCGTCGAAATGGCTTTTTCTTGTTGCGCTCGGCGCTTATAATTTTTGAAAGGGGTTACTCGTACGTACCTAGTCTCTCTCTCTCTTCAACTCTATATATACTATATTTTCACCTACTAAAGCAGCGGCAGCTCGGCTTTCGCATTGTATACATTCGCACGTGTACGTATATATCTTCACTCGTCCGTCTGTGCGCACTGCTGCTGCTGCTCCATATATAAAGATATATACGTATATAGTTGGACTGTGAAAATGCAACGCTCAGTTGAGCAATAGCAGCAGTAGCAGTAGCGGCGGCGGCGGCGGCGGCAGCAGCAGTTACCATGGCTTTTAATCTTCGTCAATGTGGAATAATAGGATTTATAGCTTTTCCCTTTATCTCCCACCACCTCGTCGACGTTCTCTCGCTTGCTCGCTCGCTCCGCGTCCTCTACGCCCGCTACGCTCGCCATGCTGCTGCTACTGCTACTACTGCTATATATTCGTTCTGTAATTCGCGCTGCGGATTAAATCTACTCGATCTACTATTATTATAAATTATATTATAACATTATAATAATAATGACCTATCCCTCAGCGGTGCAGTGCATCCTTTATGTTGATACGGAATATTACAATGGCTTGAATATCTAAACCGTTGAACAGTGCGCCTGCCCGACTGTGAGGCTGACAGCCAACCAGCCAGAGCCTCTCTTCAAATGGCTTCTTTATTACGGCTTTCTGAACAGGAATAAAAAAAAAGCTTCACCACGCACACTCGCGCGTACGTTAAAGTTGGATTATTTGTCGATGCGCGACATTTTATTGGCATACGGGCGGCACGGTATATAAAGCGAGCGAGCGATTTGATTTATAGTAAATCAAAAATCATTCTTTTTTCCTTCCCTCCTACTCCCTCCCTCCCTTCCTCCCTCCTTCTCTTCCCCGACGTCAATCTTTTACGCTTTTTTGCCAGCTGGTACTATATATCTAGGTACTACAAATAGCGCGGAGAGCAGCCTATAAGTCTTTATTCTCGTACTCGATAGAGAATTGATAAATCCACTTTGATTCGTGCTTGCGCGCACGAAAATCGCGATAAATATGGTTCTTCCTTTTTTCGCCCCCTTTTTTTTGTCATGTCAAGAGAATACTGTTGCTGCTGTTGCTATATACTATACTGCGCTGGCACAAATTTGTATCGAATTACACCCACATAGCTGCTGCCTCTTTTTACTCTCTCGTCCCTTTCTCCGCACATTTTTGGCGGCAAACACTGGCGCGCAATTAAGGATTAACGAGTCACTTTCAAACACAGTGGCTCATCAAATTCACCGCGCTATTTCTGCTTTCTCTCTCTCTCTTTTTATCTAACGAATCGGTTGAATAAAGGTACTGTCTGCTGCAAGCTCTCTCCCTCGGCTCTATATATTTCGGAGGAGAATTTTTTATTTGTGCCTAGAAGCAGCAGCAGCAGCAGCAGCTCAGTAGCATCAGTAGCAGCAGCAGCCTCTGAACCTAGTTGGAAATTGTATACCAGCCTCGTTAAGCATATTCATGCATATTCTTGAAAATATAAAGCCGCACCTAGAAGGAGGCTAGGCCGCGCGCGTGCAGAGGCGTTGTATGCAGCTGCAGTAGCTCCTACGTACATGTGTGTGTGTGCGAGAGCGCGTATTCATTTAGGCCAAGCAGAAGAGGCATGTGTACAGCGGCAGCAGCAACAGCAACAGCAGCACAGCATAGCACACATTGCTGCCTGTGAAATATAATGTGTTACATGTACGACGTGTACGGGGGGCCAAGGAACACACACGTACAAGCGCATTTACACGCAGAGAGCGAGCGAGAGAGAGAAAGAGAAGCAGTGCCCAGGCTTAAAGAACATCAGGTGAATAGCTTATATAGCCGCGCCGTGGCTGCACGAAGCAGCACGATGGTATGCATGTGGGCGTGTGCGTGTGTGCGAGGGGTACCAAGCGAGTGCGCGAAGCGAGCGGGGAAAGGATAAAACGTAATTTTCTTGAAAACTCGCTGATTTATGTACGCACTTTCCGCTGCTCCTTGCTCGAGCTCGTACAGCGCGTATCTCTCTTCTCTCTACTCTCTACTCTTCTCTCTCTCTTTCAGTGTTCAGGCGCTCGCGCAAGTATATATACGCGTGTGCGGAAACGCGCTACAATACAAGTAAAGCTTGCAACTTGCGAACAACGAACGACACCGAGTGAACGCAGCGAGAGAGAGAGTAGAGAGACGTACGCAACAAGGTCATGGGATGCCGAGCAGCAGGCAAATAATGTCACGTTTTTCTGCAATCGTCCTCTTTCTTTCTTTCTTTCTTTCTCTCGTTTTTTTACTTCTATTTTCTTTTTCTCGTTTTTTTTTTATTCCTCCGCTTTACGTGTTGTGCGTGTTTTGTACCCGTCTCTCTATTCCTGCGAACGAACGCGAGCAATTTTTGCGCACTGCGTTTATATTTAATGTTTTTCTCTCTCACTCTCTTTTCGCTCTCTTCCTACTCTGACGTAAAGAACGGTCTATTTCTCTTTGCCCCTATATACACACACGCACACATAGGCGTATATAGGCACACAGTACCCTAGCTTTCGAACGAAACTTTTGCTCTCGCTCTCTCACAAATTATCGACAAAAAGCAGCAGCAGCGGAGCCAATAGCAGCAGCAGACTCAAGCTGCGCAATCGATTAGGTTTTAATTATACGCGCGTCTCGAAGAGATGGTAACAGTTATCTATATGAGTTTGCCTCGCTCGGCTCGTATGCGAATAAGTGCCGAGTAAGAGCAAGTGAAACGGGAAGAGGGAGAGGGAGAGAGAGAAGCGAAATTCCCAAAGTAAGTTTGAATTATCTTTGGCTTTATATGCGCGAATAGAATAGCGTGTGTGAAACAAGAGGTGGAGGATGGTGAAAGGGGGGAAGGTCTAAGAAGGGTACTGCGCTGGCAGCATTCCTCTTCGCACCCAGACACACACACACACACACACACACACACAGGCACATACGGAGATACGCGTCTGAATCTCGTACGTGAGCTCGCGATAACGAAAGGCATTTACCCGTTCTGCTTTTATACACTAACATGCGCACACAGAGGCGATTGCACGTGTGCAGATGCTGCTGCTATACGTATACATCGAAGTCAATAAACTATCAGAATGATCCGAGGAAAATCGCGGAAGCTTCGCGAGCTTTGGCGAGATCGAGGTGAGCTGCGCGCCAGGGGGTGTAGAGGCCGTGGCGCGCCACCACCGCCGCTGCCTCCGCCGCTGCTTCTCCGAGCTTCTCTTCGCTAGCTGTTTCCAAAGTTCCTCGAGACCAACGTAGCGTGCAGCAGCTCGGGCAAGCTCGACTTGGTGCGAGCTTTTCCCCCCATATGTGTACGTGTACGTATCTTCCGAGTATGTGTGACACACAGACACATCCACACGTAGACGGACCTACGTGTACAGGGATAAATTCACACTGGCAAAATCCGCTCCAATTAAAACTTATCGCTGAAACACATTATAACCTGGTTATACGTATGTGGTGTGTGAGTATGTGAGCGCGTTCTATACGTTATAGATAAAATATTCGGCTCGGGTACGCTGCGCGAGGCAGAGTAGAGAGGGAGAGGGAGAGAGTGACGCAGCTGCCTCCGAAAAATCACTGCTACAAACAGCCCACACGCGTGTACGTACACACACGCGAAATATATAACATATACACGCCCCCGGCAGCTAGCGTCGATATGTTTTAGCCATTACGCTAACAAATTGTTGCTGAAATACTTGCGGTATGACCGCATGCACGCGCGCGCGCGAGAGAGAGAGAGAGAGAGAGAGAGAGCTAGCTGTGGGATTGAAGCTTAAACCGGAAGATCCGAGCGATATACGTGCACACACGTACACGTACGAGCGTGTATATATACACACAAAGCGAGAAGCGTTGCTGCTACCGCTGCCGCTGCTGTTGCTGTTGCTGTCGTGTGGCTGTGTATTTACAGGGGAGGATTTCAAAATACGGAAATTTCCCCAGTTGCTGCAGTGGTGCAGCGTGTCAGGGAGAGAGAGAGAGAGAGAGAGAGAGAGAGAGAGAGAGAGAGAGAGAGACTTGAAGTGCAGCGCGCGACGAGCGCGAGAACGATAGAAGTTAGTTTTTGGGAAAGAGGCGCTGCTGCTGCTCCTGCAGGATCGGAGCGTGGCGCGAAGGGAGACTTTAATTGCATTAATATCTTTATAGTGCTAGCGACGAGCTAGCTAGGGAAACGAGGAGGAGAGAGAGGAGGATCGGAGGCAAGCTCGCTGCTCGTGAAAGAGATAACTTGGTCAAAAGTTCGGGTAAATACTCAAGTATATATTTGTGGAGGATTACGCGCCTCGCGTAGTGTAGGCTGCTGCAAGGCGCCGGATTAATTTGTACGTTATATACGTGCACTATAGATATCCTCGAGGCGTGCCTATATGGCCCCTCGGAAACTACTCCATATACAAAGGCAACGGGCGTTTGCACAGAGTTCGTTCGCGTAGTAGAGCTAGAAAATATGTAAAGAGCCTGTGTATGTATAGGCTAATTCTAAAACTGACTGCCACGTGCGCGCATCCATGCGTGCGTGCGTGCGTGCGTGAGCTGAGCGCGTGTGTGCATGTTGGCGCGCAAACAAACTGCGTTAAAAAGCGCGATAACGGTCAAACTTTTGCTTTACAAGCGCGCGCGCGAATATATATAGTAGCTCGCAGGGGGAGGGAAAAAATACCGTGAACTTTGAGGTCGCGCAAAAGCAGAGAGAAAGAGAGCTGCGCTGGAGTGTGTATACACGCTACTTTGCCTCTCTCCCTTCCTCTCTCTGCTCCGGGAGCTCTGTGGATTTAGTAAACGTGCGCTCGTGGGTAATCAAATGATTATACAAGTAAGAAAAATGTATTTTCTACGCCCAATTTTCCGTAAAGCATGCAATCAGCACAACTCAACGAAAGAGAGAGAGAGAGAGAGAGAGAGGGAAAAGAGCACGGAGTAGAAGAAGAGAAAGAAGAAGGAGGGAAAACTCCAGTGAGCTTCGTGTGTACGCTTCGACGAATTTTACTTTGTCAGACGATCTTTCCGCGTGCGCGAGAAAGATAAAGAGAGAGAGAGAGAGACAGAGGGACGGGTTAAAAGAAAAGCTCTCTCTATTACGTGACTACGGCTCTTCGCCTCTACTCACTCCCTTTTCTCCCTCTCTCCCTCTCACTCTCTCTCTCTTGGATCGTTATGAAAATCACTGACACAGATTGCTCGGAAACAATGAACGTACCGAAAAACCAAGTGCTGTTGCTGCGTCGCGACTGAACACATACATATACACACATAGATCCACGCAGCCACGCACATATACATGCACGCAAACACATATTCGACGTTCGCGCGCGCATTTAAACAATGTTACACGATTGAACATCTCGTCGTAATTGACATCCTTTTGTAAATAGGCGGGAACTGACGCGGCCGCCGCCGCTCTAAAATTACTGCTTATAGCTGCGATGCATCAGTGCGAACTGATTGGACCTCGAGCTCTTCTCTCGCTCTCTTTCTCTCTCTCTCTCTCTCTCTGCCTCTCTGTGTTTGTTTTCATACCCAATCCATTTGGGGATATTTGCTAGAATATTGCGCATTTGTACCGTTTGCTATCAAAATTACCGAATTTCAATGGGTTTTCGTCGTTGTTGCAACACAGCAGCAGCGCGTGGCGCTATACTGCCACGTTGCACGCGCGTTTTTTGTCCTTTCGAAAGCGCGGCGCGCGCGCATCGGCTATCGATTAGCCCGAGGGACTTTTACGTGCCTTCCGGATGAAAAAAAAAACAGATAAAACTATGCAGCGAAATGATTTATATCGCTCGACGACGACGACGACGGTGGGGATATGGCGCGCGTCAGAGGGCTCTATAATGGGACATATACGCGTGGCCAGCCAGCCAGCGCAGAAACCTTTTTGTGCGTCAGCGTCGTGAGAGAGCCTTTTTATTATTATTATCTTTATTGTCGCTGACAACATTATTATTATTATCATTGTTATCATTGTTGCTGTTGTTATTATTATGCGAAAATCCATCTCTCTTGCTCCTATCCCTTATCAGCCTGAGAGCCCCGAGTAAACGAGCAAAGTTATATACTTTGCGACGCTTTGCTAGAGGATAACCTTATACTCTATAATATACAGTTACACTACTGCACGTGGGGCTATATGTATATATACGCTTGTCGTTCGTCTGTTTTTGCATAGCTCTCGTCTTATCCATCATCTTGCCATTATCAATTAACTTTATTCATCCGATATAGTTTCGCTATGAAAATGCGATCCCCGTTATTGAATTTATCGAATGCCCGAGACAACACTGGGCGTGCTGGACGGGAAAAATAAAAAGTTTGCACGTTTAGCGATGGAAATTATGGGCTTGTGTTTGAATAGAGTTTAAAATTCATGCGGCGATCGAAAAGCGAATTCGGCGTGGAGTACAGAAAAAAAATGTTTTTTTCAACGTCGCGTTTGACGCAACTTTTGACTCAAAGTTGCGTATCCTTATAAAGTGACGATCTAAAATTTCATTATTACCGAGTTCTCGCAACTCGATAAATAATGCATAGTCGTCGAGTTTATTAATTTTAGTCTTTCTGAAATTCCGATCGAAACGAATATCGGCGTGGCTTGTCTTCAACTTAATTCTCGCTTCAATTGTCTTGTGCATAATCAAATTTTGCATTCTTTAAAATAATGGCCGTACTTGCTTTCAAAACTAAACTATCGTTTGAAACTTCGACGGACTGTCATTTGAGATCGTGAAATTGTTCATTTATTCAAACATCGCCAACTTGCTCCTTACATTCATATTATTTGTAACTATACAATGTAAGTTAGCAACATAGTTTGTCTGTGTACCGCTACGAAGCGCTAGTCAATCTGCTAATGAATTGTGGTAGCAAACTTATAAAGAAATCATTTTTGTTCAGTAGTTCTCCAATTTACCGACAATCAAAGTGAAGCTCTAAGAATTCATCTATTTTTAAAATATAAAAGTACAAGTGCATGATTTCCAAATATGAAATTCATTTCCTCATTGCAAATATAGAAATATTATTGAACAATTAAATTAATCAACCAAATAATTAATTGACTAATTTATAATTGCAAAATAAATATTGCAAATATATACAACAGATAAATATAATTTTAATTGAAGTGAAAATTACTTTGGTTTTTATTTTCAATTAAGCAGCAGAAAACAGAACTATTGAAATTTCAACGAATCTAAACTGCGATCTCTCAATTCCATTCGATGGTTCTTGGCCGAGCAGGCCAACATCTAGATTAACAAAACCGACTAAACTCAGCATATTATACATTAATTTTACTCTAAAGCGACCCATTCGAAGCAGATTACGGCTGCGCAGTTATCGTTAAGTTCTTTGAAAATAATTTCAATTTAAAGATTCGAGCTCATATTTGTATACAACCACTATAAATTATGAACTATCATAATTCAACAGCTGTAGTTTCAGAGATGTTTCGAAACAATTTTGGTAAAATATTTAAATTAATATAAAATTTTTAATTTGATCATTCACAATTTTAATTTTTTAGGTAAATAATTTAATTACGTTGCGTGGAATCGATATTGTTCATTTGTCGCTTCACAAATTATCATTTCGACTTTTAAGAGACTTATACATTTCAAACGTAAATTCATACATTGTAATAAAAAAATTCCAATCATGAAAATTATATCGAATTTGCATTATAATTGTAGACACAGTTATTAAACTTACGATAACGCTAAATTATTAGCTTTGTATCAAATTTTGGGCGTATATTTACAGTTGCTGTACTACTCTGGCCGCTCGAATTAATTTCCTTTCTTTAAAAAATTAATAAATTTCTCACGCTCAGGCCTCGAGAGGTAAACTTGAGATGCATTTAAGACTCTGATTACTTTGAAGGAATATTCGTTACAAAATAAAGATCGCCAGCTTAATTAAATGTGTTTTTGCTTTAACAAATTACGCCAAAGGATCGTTGAAACTTTCCTTGAGAAGAGTTCGAAGTGAGAGGCAAGGGGTATAAAAGAAAACGTAATAAAACGCACAGAGAAGATCAGAGAGCTTTTGTTACATACAACTAAAATGACATTATACGCCACACGTATACAAGAAGGCGTTTAATTTTGCAACAGCGTAGCAGGGGTCGGTCCCTGCGTGTATAAAATAAGCTCCAATAGTAACAATGGTACAGCAGCTAGCATGTATAGGGACCCTAGTTCGCTATACGGTTTATTTTTCGAGCTCTCCCAGAAATAACCGCCTTATACCGTGTACAAGTTGTTCTTATACTAAATTCTCATTAAACGGCCCTCGCAAATGTTTGTAACATGCGGGACGCGTGCCGTTAGCAAATGCACATATAACACGCATCGTCTGTGCGCGCTGCACTGGCAAAGGCTAACCCACTTTCAGTGGCAGTCGCAATATTAGGACAGTCACCCGTATATAGCCCAAGAGAGCGAGCCCTATTTCAACTAGTACATAACACGACGTCTCTTTCTCTCTGTCTGTTTTGCGCTGGCCAGGCTGGACAGTAACGAGCTGACATCTTTGGAGCCCGCAACGATTTCCGGCCTCAGGCGCTTGAAAACTCTCAGTCTGGATAACAACGCCTGGTCCTGCGACTGTCATCTCCGGGACTTTTGCCTGCTGCTGACTTACGGCAGCTCGAGTCGGCTGTACTCGCAGTCGCTGCACTGCAGCCAGCCCGCGCGACTTCAGGATCGCAGGTGGGAGGATCTCCGGGCCCACGAGTTCGCCTGCGAGCCCACTGTGCTGCTGCCGACGACCATCATCCAGCAGGAGATCAACGGCAACGTCAGCCTGTCCTGTCTGACTACCGGCGACCCCGAGCCCGAGGTCTGGTGGCAGCTCAACGGCTCGCCCGTCAACGGCACCGGCAGAAGACAGTCCATCGACGACATCACCCCGTCAGGTTAGTTCCGTATAACCTATACATCGAATTTTTTTTTTTTTAATAAAACAGTCATCCTTGGAAAAGATCGAGCGAAAGAGGAAAAAGAGGAAGCGCAGCCGATGGGACTTTAAATTAATCATTTTTCATCTTTTTTTTATATCTCGTTGGCAGCGGAAATGGCCGAGAAGCCGTAGCACTCCCGTGCAGATAAATAAACATAGAAAAAGAAGTAAATACATTTTGTCGATCGATCGTTTGATTAAAATTGACTAATGACTCAACAGGTACTCGCGCGCAGAAGCTCTCAGAGTTTATTGATTGACGGTTCTGCGCGCTGCCTTGATTACATTGGATCGACTGAATGTACTTTCCTCTTTCATAATATAGGATGCAGCTCTTCGCGTTTATATATACTATATGTATCGAATGCAGCGTGTACATATAGTATATAGTAAAAGAAGCATTGCTCTTGTACATAAGTATGTATCCGCGCGCGCAAGCTGCTCGAGATATTACATTGAATCCAAAACACACAGACAGAGTCTAGATCAGGATCATAGCCTCGATCTTTTCAATTTCTCTAAGTGCTTGTGTACGCATGTGTACGGACTAATCAGAGAAATAGAAAAAAGATCAGCAATAACATTTGGATAAGCTTCTCGCGATTGGGCACGAGTGGGAGGGAAAAAAGGAGAGGGGAAACAATTTCATTAAACGAGAGAGCGAGCGCTATAATAGCGCGTGCAATACGTATGAGCGTCAAAGAAAAATTTTCACCAGTTTTAATATCAACGTTTAATATTGCATGTTTTTTCATTCCTTTTTTTTTTGTTCATATCTTTTTATCTGTGAATTAAACATTCTGCTTGGCGTTCGACTCTTCGGTCGTTCGATCGATTATTTTTTGTGCTCGACGAGCGCCGAGAGGAGCCCAAGATCGATGGCACGACGTTCCAACAATGAAAGTTCATCAAATTTCCGGATAATGTATATACGTGTTCGGCATTAAACGGCTCCGGCTTAGCACATAGCTCCAGTGGCAACATAGCAGCTATACACTTTGGTCGTCGTGAAAAAAAAAGAAAAAAGAAGAAGAAAGCTCAACTCTCGGCCGTTTATTTACGCTTTTATATAGACGAGGAGGGGGGGTAAAAAAAGTACTTTACATTATGCATGGTATGATATGCTATATATATACATAGAGCCGAGCTCGTGCGATTAGAAGCAGGCACTCGATAGCCTTTCAAACGAGTGGAGCATTGTTTCTCACCTTCAAAACTTTGAACCCGACTCGGAATCCGACGCTTTCTTTTTTCTCCTTTCTCTTCCACTTTTCTGTTTTGTTTTTTGTTTTGCGCTTAAAACTACGCCACTCTCTGTATGCGTGCGCGTGTGTATATTTTTTTGTGTGCGTGTTGTGCGTGAATAAGTCTGGAACGCGCGAAAAAAACCCAGCCGCGAGTTAAGTGCTTTTTCCTCGGCGGCTAAAGTACAGATATTTCATATCAACAATAAATGCAGTATTTTACGGGAATTTTATTTAACTTTCCGTGTATATGCAATGTGCGTTCGTCTACGCTTTGCGTTATACTATATGTGTATATGTATCTGAGCATGCAACATTCACGCGCACGGCACAAGATTGTGCATACATGTTTTACGCGGGAGTGTTTTGTTTTTCATGCCACGCATACGAGCATAAGCCCCCTTATAAAAAGTGAACGTGCTTTTCATATCCGTATAGTTCAGGGAATGCCCTGGGTGTGGGCGTGTGAGTGTGTTTGCTTGCTTGCGAGGTGTAGACGTGTGTCTATGTACAGGGCTGTGTGTAGGTGGGCCTAAGGAGAGAGCAGCGCAGCGCTTTTCAACCTCTGCACGCCCGGGCCAAGTTAAGGTGCGAAAACAAACGGTAACTACGTGCCAGCTGTTGAAGTTTGTCACGGTCAAAAACCCGCGAGTTTCTTGCAGTCTTTTCCACCCCATATATACCGTAGAAATATATACGTGTGTGTGTAATGTACTAAAAGCTGCCACTATTATTATAGCTATCCTTTATAAACTTTGCTCTTTTTTGGCCAAACGTTTTCTGTCTATATATATATATATATCTCCGCAGGCTCTTACTTAGTCATTCATTGGATCTGAGTACATAAAATCTCAGGGTGCTGATGCGATCAAAACTTTCTCACTGTCTCTCTACTTTCCTTTCCTTTTTTTTCAAATTTTTTTTTGCTCCCGCTCTGTCTGGTGTGTCAACTGAATAATTGACTGTAGTTGTAGCTGGTGCTGCTGTACGTACACATATATAACTGTAGCAGTAAAGAGTCGAGAGACAGAGACTTTGGACAGCTAAAGTAAATGAAGGTATATATAAGAGCGGCCAGGCGTGACTTCACCGGTCAATATTTAATTCCGAGATCTTTTCTTCTCCCCAAGCTACCACTGCTGCTGCCGCTACACTACTGCTGCTAACGCTCAGCGTAGTGTAAAAAAAAAGAAATAGAGAGAGCGGGAGGGAGGGAGGAAGGGCTGCAAATATTCACACATCAGCTTTGTACGTTTTTCATCTGCCACGCGCGTGTACATGTGTACACGTTACCTTACCTTGAACGAGAGTCAAGAGATGAGCGTCGCGTCGAGCTCCAACGGAGATTGAATTTAAAATTTTTTTTGTCTCCCCCTAAGACTCGCACACATGCACGCGCGCGTGGCAGATGGAGCATTGCAGGTCCAAGGTCTTTCTCGCTCTCTTGTTCTCTGTGCATTATTAACGATTTCGAGACGACGACGACGACGACGACGAAGCTCGACATTGCCCAAATGGGCAAATGGAATTCGAATTTTCGCTTCGACTCGCTATATAGGTAACGCTGAAAACACAGATAATGGGATCGGGCATTGTGCGTTGTGTGCCGCGCTGTGTAGACCCCTACATAAAATATACGTACATCGTATGTACGCGAGTGCGCGGCGCATATCGTACGTCTCTCTCTCTCTCGCTCTCTCTCGTATATATACGTAGGTATATGCTGCGCGGCCGTATTGCAATTCATCAAGCGTTAACCGCGTGCTCCCTCTCCCGCGTAATTAATAGCTTCGGCTACACTGACTAGCTACGACCATTTGACTCGCGTTCTATATATGTGCAGTGTGTGTGTGTGTGTGTGTGCGAGAGCATGCGCGCGCGCCAGTGAGCTTTTGAGGAATCGTTATCGGAAATATACTCGTACGGGCGAATTTTAACGAATTTAACCTTTTAAAATGACCTGTGATATTTCTTCGTATCGAGCATACGTACATACGTATAGATGCAGCGACTCTCGATGATTTCATACGTGTAACGCATAAAGGTTCTACCCTGCGTGCGCGTTGTGTATAGCTCGTAATAAACGCAACCCTGCGCACCGAGTTTTGTTCCGTACATACTCGTATCATTCAAAAGGCATACGCGAGGTATACTCTCTTGCTCGCTCACGTCCTCCGCGTCAGCAGTTATTTTATTATTAATACCTTTTATATAATGTATACACAAATATATATAGAAAACTTTGTTATAGAAGTTTAAAGCAAATCCTTCTGTGCTGTGCTTCGTTTACTCGGACTGCCTACGAGCACGACGTGTATGTGTTGCGATACAACAATCGCAAAATGTCAACCGTGATAATAAAATCGCCTGTATATATACACACGCATATACACCCGCTCACAACGGTGTACATGATTATTTAAAAACAATAGCTAAATTTTTTTCGTTTTTTTTTTTCTTATATTTTGTATACGGCACAGTCATGTCTGACTTTGTGTGTAGATGCCTGTGTGCGCGAGCGTTTCTCTCTGTATCTTTTGCCCAAACATAACGTTCCAGTCCGGAGAAAAAGGGAAAAAATCTTTTTCTTCTCTTTTATACGGAATACGTACAGTACATATACGTATAAACGCACTCGTACACACGTACACCCACATGCACATAGCCATGCAGTTCTGTATACACGTATACACCGAGAGCAGCACAAGCTATACGCAAGTGCACATGCGAAAGATATACAACTAGAATCGACCTCGTTTTATAACAAGCCACCGAATTAAAACTGACAAATCCATTACTCTTTTGGAGCTTTTTTTCTCCTTTTCTCTCTCCCTCTCTTTACAATTATTATACATAAATAGTACATACTCCGGTATTCAACTTTGAAAATCCCGAGATTGTGCAAAATGTTTCTACGTTTACAGTACTCCATTATGCCGTTATTCGACCTCTTATTCCTTTCTTTCTCCAATTTCAGTTTCCTTGGCCTCGCTGCGCGGGGTATAATACACTCGAATTACATTTGTATAATTATGTATCAATCCCTTTTCATGCGGACCGCTGCGCGCGCGATGCGAGCTCTCGCGCGTGTATTTGCACGAAATGTCGGCCGGTCGCGAAAACTTGGTCACATTATGCATATATAAGTATGTATGTACAGCACGGTGCTAGCAAGCGGCAAAACTCATCGAGGGAAAGAGAGAGAGAGTGAGCTTGCGAGAGAGGGGGAGAGAAAATTAATTTAAAGGAGCTGCTGCTGCGCTAGCTCGCAGCGGAGAGTGAGAGAACAGAAAGAGCTATATACATGCCTGCTCGGGAGCAACGTAGTATAGCAGCAGCTAGCTCACGAGCCCCCGAGTAGCGGTAAGCCTTGCTCTGCTCTTTTACAAAATTATTACATATTCCTGAGCGAGTTAAGGAAGAATATAAAATATCAGGTCATATACAGCAGGGAAGAAGGCGCTAAGCTAAGTAACTTTCAACTCTTATACTCTCTTTCTCTCTCTCTCTCTCTCTCTTTCTGCTCCTGCTGCTACTTACTATATACCACTACCACGCGTACGTATACACGAGCTTTTGCTGTGTATGCACGAGGCTGAGCTCTTTCTCTCTACGCGCCGTTGCTTTGAATATTCAGTGAACTTCAGGGCAATTTACTTGTCTGTTATCTGACATTTATAATTCTTCACTCTTGTTTTTCTTTTGCCAAGTA